CCCATTCTGTATAACTTTTACAAGGCAGCTCATCTGTTTGAACCTAGATAGCTACACATGATCTTGACAGTTTTGCAGCCATCAAGGACTTGCAATGTCCTTCTACTGATGTTCATTTTGGAATGCAAATAAGAGCAGATTTTCTCTTCTGGAACAGATTGCCAATAAAGTCATTTGGATACCCATTACCAGCATAGGTGCTGAATGTTAATTTTCTCAGTATAAATATTTACTCAATAAACAACATGAAAGTCTTACCCCTGAGAATACCAAGCAACTCACAAGGTTGTATTACAACAGAGATTTAGAGAAGAGATTTGGCGATTAAATATTTCCCAAATTAAGAAATTAGCAATTTTAAATTTGAGCAGTATTTCAATTTCGGATAAGTTGTTTCATTTAAATTTTGAATTAATATGTCTAATTTGTTTGATATTTTCTTACAAAGATTCAGTTATTATGGTTTAATTACTCTTTTGTAAAATTTTAGTCAAAATGTTTGACTTTATTCAGATATTTATTATTGAGTTACAAGTTATTTGCAGTTTATACTTTAAATGTGATTTTTATATTATGAATCAATAATTATAAATCAATCTAAATACTTTTATTTAAAAAAAACAATTTAAATGTGTTTTGAACATGTTCTTAAAGAAAGAAGTTCTGATTAAAAGTTTTACCTCAAAGATAATTATGCACTGTAACATTACATTGTTTTATATTGTCTAGTCATGTTACATTTCATTATTTTTACATATAATTTATTTTTGGACTTGGATTTTAACATTTAAAATAAGATTTGTAGATATTTGCTATTTCTTTATATGCAATAAAACTTTGAATTATGTTTTTGTTTCCAGTTTTAATAATAATTATAGCATATTTATTGCGAATTTCTCATAAAATACTATAAAATGCAAAAAATTAAATTTCCCAAAAGTAAAAACAGAAAAAAAAACTGAATTTACCAAAAGTGGAAACGGAATCGAGGAAAATTTGAAACAGAAAATTGGGAGCCCTAATCTACTACATGGTCTTATCAATTTATGAATAAAACAACAAAGTTGACAGAAAATAATGTCCACATTAGTATACAACATACCTAGATGGCCATGTGATGCCCTAATTTGGACACTATGGTAAATCTGTCAAGGCAGAAAACCTTCCTGCTTTAGAATTTTTTCTTCTTTGTAAAATATTCTACACCAAAGAATGCTCTCTAGTCAATAAGCAGTCCACTAATATGAAGAAGATTTTTTTCTATTCCTAACCAAAGATTATGCAACTGATCAGAAGATATATCAAGTTTCTCTGAAAAAGAAATAGACAAAGTGATTTCATAATAAACTTAAGATTCTTTTTTTTTTTTATTACAATACTTTATTATGTGACAAAAATATGATATGTATAATTACATTTAACAACAAGATTTTTATCATTGACATCTAAACATTTCAATTATGTACTATTTGTACACAGGTTATTAATTCAGACTGGTGTCGAATGAACTGATTTATTTTCATGTTATACAGCATCCAATATAATAAAAACCTTTCATGAATATAATACAGTATAATACAAACCACTGTTCTGGTTTTATGCAAACTGAGAAGACATAGATGCTGAAGGAAAACAATGTTCTGTTGGCTTTCAAAAATATTTTGGACATAAAATATTCAGCAATATTCACCTTCATAGGAGAAAAAAAAAAAAGAAAAACAGTGTGTCAAAAGGACAGTTATTCCTTTGATACTGCTATTACTGTATACACTTTTGACTCCCTCAGCAATGTTGTTTTAAAAAGTATTGATCTGAATTAACAAAATCCAAACATATGAAAGTGTATTTATACAAAGATATTAAACACTATCAGATTGCTTATTTACAAGAATAATTTTATATTTACAAAAAAAAAAAAACATGAATCAGTTATGAAATATTTATTATTATATATAATATTATATATAACTATTATATAAAATATTATATATAATTATTATATAATTTATTATCATTTTTATAATGAAATATTTATTATTTACAATTTTATAAAGAAATAAATATAGAAAGATTTTTTTTTATCCATAAATTTATAAAAATGTCTGAACAAAAAAATTTAAATAAGCACATAAGAAAAAGAAAGAAAGAATTTCCAGTCATTTTTCATTTGCCACATAAATTCACTAAAATAGTTTGAGAGCATCTCATCCTCTTAAATATTTTGATTATTTTGTAACTTTTTGTAATATTTAATAAAGAAATTTCTTTTTAAATTTCTTTCTTTATAAATTGGTAAATAATAAATATTGCATTGTATTTGGTCTACATATTTTGACAAGTAGTAGTTTTTATAAAGTTTTGTATAAATAATTTCTTACTATATTTCTGAGATGAGGTATTGTAATTATTTACACTTTTTACATTGTTCGAACTGTTGTCCTCATCTTTGTTGCTGGTGCACAAAATAAAGGTTTCAGTTCGAAATCCCACTCACCTGAAGAAGGCCGGAGAATACAACGGCCGAAATGTCATGAATATGACAAAGATGAGAACAACAGTTCAAATAATGTAAATAGTGTAAATAAATTCTTTTCAAATTTATTTCTTTATAAAATGGTAAATAATAAATCTTTATAAAAGTAAATAAGAAATATCGCATAGTATTTGGTTCACATATTTTTATAATCTTGTAAATAAACATTGCTGAGGGAATCAAAAGTGTATACAGTAATAGTGGTGTCAAGGGAATAATTGTCCCTTTGACACACTGTTCATTTTTTTTTTTTTTTGGTATTTTTTTTTTGCAGGTACAAAGGTTAAACATTGCCAAATATTATTTTTGACTTGTCACTTATTATCCCATTTAAAATATATTTTTTTTTAAGAATCAGTCAAGGCAAATGTTAAATAAATGCAAATTACACCGATGCCCATTGAATAAGTTATAGCTTTAAACACACTTTAAAGTTAAATAATCTCTTCTTCATGTTAAACATAAATGCCATGGCAATTCGCCAGTAGAGTGTCACCTGTAACTGGAAATGTTATTTCCTTCTTAAAGTTATATTTTATGCAGCCACCTTATCATCAAATACCTTCTGAATGGAGGGAAAGCTCCAAATAGCATAGGTACTATTTTACTTTAGGACATAGACAATCATTGCTTTTCACAGCGTCTTTAATATTAGTAATGGATGGGTTTTCCCCATTGCCTTAGCCATAGTTTTCAGAGATCTTCAAAATTGGATACCAACAAAGGCTAAAGAATAGTCTACCCTGCTAATTTACCCTTATCTGGAGAAGAGATGAGTTCATGTCTTTCCCAAGCATATTAGTGGGAAGTGAACACAAACTGTCTTAGCCAGAATTTGAACTCAGCTTGCCAATTCTATTTTCTACTGTTAACCATTAATTTATTTGCATCCTCCTGAAGAGAAATGACACCAAGCCCAATTAATGGTCATTAAATGCATTGAGATAAGGAAGAATCTTTAGCATTCAGCAACTGAATATTCTATCTTTATCAACAAATCATAGTTTTGTAGCTCTTAGTAAAGTTTTTGTTATCTCTTCTAATCCCTGTACTGTCAACCATTTACATAAGATTGTTAGGTAAGTTATGCACTTTGTGATTAAAAAGAATTGTTGCCATAGATGTTGTGTTCACTCTATCATAACAGCCTTATTTGATTTCTTTTTTTCTGTACTTAAAATATTGTTAACACAAAGGATCAAATTTTCAAATCATTTTGAAAGACCCTGAAAGCAATACCAGAGCCACCATTTTGAAATTCTAAGAAATAATTTACACCAGGTAAACAGCTGTAGATAAAGATCTTAAATTTGTTTCAAAAGTAATGAAAGAGATATGCGCTAGATATTTAGCTAAATATTTTAGATAATGCCAGTCAATTTTCATTGAATAATGAAAACATAAACATGCATGAATATAGTGGCATTGATTTTGTTAAAACTGAATAAGCAAATTACATTTTCAAGTTCAAAAACTGGAGAAAAAAAATTTCTTTAACTATTTAAATTCATTGAATAGAATGTTTTAAAAATGGTCTTTCGGTGACTGCTGAAAATGTTTGCCATTCAGAAAAATTCTAAAGTTTTTTTTATTTTTGTTTTTTTTTTTTTTCTTAAGATAAAAGATATGCCAAATTTCTACAACTGAAAAATGATTTATTCAAGAAAAATATAGAGTCTGCATTAAATTTTTTTTTTTTTTCTTCAAAAGTCAAAACATACAGAAATATGTACACGTCTAATCAGTTGACCTCTGAACAACACAGAGGGGAAAATAAGATTTTTGCAAAGTTAGAAAATGAATTTTTTTTTTTTTAACAGAGTAACTCTGTTTTATGCTTCAACATTTCATAAAGAACGCAATAAATTCATATATGTGAATTCTATGTCACATTCAGTTAAGAGATAAGGCATATCCATCCAAAAGAGAAAGTCTATGCACATTGGGCCAAATAAATAAAAAATAATTGTTATTCAAGTAAAAAGGGAAGATCTTTAGTTTCAGTCCTTGCTGATAGGCAAATTTATTGCTTCAGTAAAGTATCCAATGGGAAGTCACAATCTTGACTTTAGGGTAAAAATCCCAATAAAAAAAAAAAAAATTCCGTAAACAGGCAGACCTGTAGCTCATAGAAAGACAAATGTCTTTACATGTGTGTAAGTGTTCTGCACATCTTTTTAAAATGAAGTAGACATCATTCTATTTAACTGAGGCACATGTTTTTTCACTTGCTGACATATTCCATGTTGTGTGAGAAAAAGGTTTTATGAACAGTAGTTGGCACATGTGTACATGGTGATAACATATGTTTATACTTAATAGAATGTGGTGCGTGTGTGTTGTATTCAGATTAAATAATGTGTGTGTGTGAAGCATGTATGACGCAGAAAAGATAGGGACACAACCATTAATGCCATCCTGACTTGCCCCTAAAATCTTTGGCTGCATCCATAAAAAGTGACCATTTCTATTGTTGAATGGGAATGACCAAATTTGTCATCAGTTCACGTACAGATGGGAAGATGGCACACTCACTTGGATTCTGGTGCAGCTCAGCAAAGCGTCTCAACATCGACACAATGGCCATTTGTGCAGGTGTCTGAGTGTGCGGGGCTGGTGGGCGGGCCTCCACCGGCTGGATTGTGTTGGCAGTGATATCATAGAGCAGTGGGATGATCACAGATTGTGGTTCCGAATTGGAAGACAGCATCAGGCCAATGCGTGTCAACTGCAGCTAATAAAGAAAAAGATAAGAATACTCAGCATTTGGATAAGGTTTTTTTTTTTAACTGGAAAAACACACACTATTAGCAGGATAAATGAGAGAAACATACAGCAGTTAACATAGAATTAAAGAGAGTTCTGTAAATTCTGTTTGAATTTCTAGGATGAGGCCTTCAGCAGGTGTACCCAGATTGATTTACACCTGATGAAGGCTAGAAGGCACAATAGTTGAAGCATTGTGATGACAACAAAGATGAGGACAAAAGTCCAAATATAAATTGTATAAATAATGCAAATATATCTGTTGCCATTTTTACAAATAATGAAGAAGAAAAAAAATCTCAACTCTAATTTCATCAAAACCTATAGTCGTCATCTTATCTCTTCTAATTCCTGTTCTGTCATTCCTTTACACAAGCTTGTTAGGTAAGTTATGCACTATTTTCATGTCTCTCTTACCTTCAATGTCATGTGAGTGTCAAATCTTCCATGCCCTTTTTCCTCATTACGTGTGCTAGAAATTTCAACTATCTCTTTCCAATAAATATAAATGTTCTTTTTGTTTCCATTTCCTCTAAAACTTCATTGTTGCTCATATGTTCGATCCATGGTACACCCAGTATCCTTCTGTAGAACCATATATTTCTATTGCCTCAACTTTTTTTTTCATCTGTGAGGAGATTGTTCAACATTCACTGGCATATAGGAGGACTGATATATATTTTTTTTTTTTTTTTTTTTTCTCTAACGAGATTTTCCTGTTTCTTAATACTTTGTTTAGCTTTTTGAAGGCATATTTAAGCTATCCCAATGCACCTCCAGTTAAAACACTTGGATTGATTTTGGCATTCCCAATTTTAATTTACATGTTCGACTGATTTTGCTGACAATTATATATTCTGTCTTCTTACAATTCGTAGAACCTATCTATTGAAGACAAAAAAAAAAAAAAAAAAAAAAATGGCAATCTTGGAATGTTAAGCACAATCTAAATATTATTCATCTGATGAAATCATTTTATCACCCAAACTTATGTAATCAATACACATGGTCAATCATGGGTCATCATTGTAGTGCCCAGGGATCTAGACTTTTTTTTTTTTTTTTTTACTATCATCTCCAAACAGCCCCAAAAATTAAACTGTCCTGAAATAAAAATCCATCTTTTTAACTGTTATCATTTGTAGTTGTTAGTAAAATAATAAAAACATCATTAAAATGTTTAAGAAATAAAAATTTTCAAAAGTTAACATTTTAAAAATGAATAAACAAATTTTTAGCAAATAAATATAGTACAATTAAATTTTACTGTAATTTTTATAAAACAAAAAAAAAAAAAATGTGTTTACTGTTGTGTGTGTGTGTTCCATTTATGAAAAGTCCACCACTATTGGCAAGAAATCATTTTTTTTTCTTTTATTTTGAGAAGTTAGTTGCTTTTAGAATAAGTATAATGGCATTTTAATTTTAAAAATGTTGCATTCTACTGGCTTCATCCTAAAATACAATGCCTACCCAGTCATTTAAAACTAACGTTCTATCACCCCACAGGATGATGTCAATCTCAAGTCCTGATGACACCATATTACACCAGTAAGAAATCTGTATGGAATATATTTCACTAATGAGAAAGTCATACCAATCACAACCTAAACATCTCTTCTATATATATATATATATATATATATATATATATATATATATATATCTCAACAAACTTCCATCATTTAAAAATCAACTTCAAATATTTTCCACTCTTCATTAGAACCAGAAAGGAACTTTTTAAAATATCATTAAAAGATAACTGACTGAAGAGTTAAAGACAAGTACATGGTGATAATTTATTCAATAAAAACAATTGGATAGTTAAGAAAAATACTGAACACTTTTTAAACAAAGTAAATGCAATTTATATACATTTGATTTTATAAGCACATTTTATTATTATAAATGTCCAGCTATTACTTTTTCCATCTTAATTTTTAATAGTTTTTATCACACCTTTCACTTAGGCAGTCACTCTACAATTATGATGAAAGTAATCACTAATGAAAAATGAATAGTAATGATCAAAAAGGAGGCACGGTGGAGTAATGGATAGTGGCTCGGATTGAGGAATCAGAGAGCTGAGTTTGAATTCCAGTCGAATCCATTACATTCACTTACGTGCTATTACCCTTGGAAACGGTATGAATCCTCTTCTCCCCACAGCTATGGGTAAATAGCAGGATAGACCAATTTCTATAGCCTTGTATGGCCACTGGTCTACTGCAGAAAGAAATGGCAAACTACTACACGAAAAAATCAGCCTCGTCAGTCATGTATCAAAAGATACAGGATCGCCTAAGCATGTATCACACATGGCACATAACTGACTGCATGATCAACAATGTTTCAGATCATAAAAACAGAAGATAATAGCATTGCTGCATGATATCTAGGTTGAATCTTTTTATAATATGGTTCATCATTATACAAGGATAAATCAGAAAGCCTTCTTCGATTACTGTAAAATAAACAGGACAAGCGTTTCCTAAAATAAAAAATAAAAGTAACTTATATCTATGATCAAAGGTAGAGAATCAATAAAAAAAAAGTATAAGAATGAATTACAGTGCAAAAAAAATAAATAAATAAATAAAAAATAAAAACAATTATTTACATTATTCGGACTATTGTCCTCAGCTTTGTTGCCATATTTATCACATTTTGGCCGTTGTACACTCCAGCCTTCTTCAGGTGGTTGGAATGTCAAATTGAATCCTTTATTTCACTCACTGGGGTAGACTGTTCTAGTTCTACGTGCCATGTTTAATGGATGTCAGTTATCAGTTATCTCCTGTTAGTTTCCCTCTGAAAGTTCTCCACTGACTTAGCCGGGTATTGAACTCACACTCTTTGGGTACTGTCACTGGATCTAACTAACGACTTTATCCACTGTGACATGTGTCCTTGAGGACACCTGTGTATGAATTTCTGGGTATTATAAATCATTTTTTTACCAGTGCTCATATTGCAATTTTTGCTGTTATCATTGCATGTTTTTACCAGATCACATATTGCAATTTTTGTTGTTATTATCGCTTTTCTCTGGCACTCCTTATTACTGGTTACCATACTGTATTCATTTCTATGCTTGGTCGGCTCAGGAGATCTTTGTGGCCTAGCATATATGCTGATTCCTTAAGTTTACAAATTTTCTTTGTCTATGATCTCAACATGATCCCAATGAGTGAAATAAAGGGCTCAGTTCGACTTTCCAACAACCTGAAGAAGGCTGGAGCGTACAATGGCCGAAACGTTGTAATAAATATGGCGACAAAGATGAGGACAATAGTCCGAATAATGTAAATAATGTACGTAATACCTCATCTCAGAAATGTATACTAAAAAATACTAAAAAAAACACTTTGTAGCTTAGGTTAGTTACATTATTTCCTTATTATATTAATCAAGGTTAGGTAATAATTTTGTTTGTTTGGGGGGGGGGGGGTTCTGCTCAACTTAAGATTGGTAGAAAATGATTTTCCTTTTTATTTGTCTAGATTAGTAAATATCTATAGTTGAAAACGAACTATACAAATATTTACCATGATAATCATTTTATTTTTCACAACAACGGCCGGTGTTCCTGCCGGTGCACTGATGGGATGGGCGCCAGGAGGGATGGTCAAGCACCACTGCACCGACCACTTCAGGTTCCGGTCAGGCATCTGTAAAGGTAACAGAAAGTTTCAGGACAATTGAAAAATCAATTACAAAGTCAAAAGTTCTAAATATATGTCTAACAAAAAAAAGGTCATGAAATGTGAACTTTTTTCCTCCGCATTTTTAAATATATTTGGTAAGGCCAAGTAAATTAATTATATTCAATGACCAATACAGAATAATTGCTATAAAAAATTGTAAAAACTGCAAATCATTATATTTTTACAAACCTTAAAATCAGATCACTTACCAATTCTAGCCTCATGATTTGTAGACAATCTTTGAGTATACGAGCTGGGGCACCTAACAGCCTACAGAAAGCAGTCAATGCATTAACTTTGTAAGGTGGGCTTGCTACCTACAATACAAAGCAAAATGTGTAAAAAAAAAAAAAATAAATAAATAAAAATATAAATAAAAAAAATAAAGATTCAACAAAGTTTATAACACTTATAAAAATGATTTGTGAAAAGTGAGATATTATGTAGTCCTAAAACTTTTATAAAAAGAAAAAAAAACTTATAAAAAATTCAAGTTTAGTCTAATGCATTACAAGACATTTTATATTTACCTTCAGATCAAAGAATTTTTCTAAAATTTGAATTTCTTCAGCTGTCCATTGGTCTTGGTATTCTGCAAGTAATTCAAATAGATTTTTAGAAAATAAAAAAAGTACATTGGCATCAGGCTATAAAAGTGCCATGCTTAAAAGTGTGTGTGTGTGTGTATATATAATTTCCTACTACACCAAACATCATTTTGTGGATACACATGTTTAAGTAGATGCCCTGTTTTATAAACAATGTAAATTACTTCCATTATTTACATTGTATAGACTCTTGTCCTCATCTTTATTGCCATATTCACGTTTTGTCTGTTGTACACTCCGACCGCCTTTGGGTAAGTAGAATTTTGAACTGAACCGTTTATTTCGTCCACGGGGGTAAATTGTTCTATTTCCACGTGCCATGCTTCAAATCTCCATTTAACTCAACTCTACAAGTTTTTATTCACCACTTCAGTAGCCAGGTATTGAACTCACAACTCTTTGGGTAAAGTCATTGTATCCAACCAACAGTTTTATCCACTGGGCCATGTGTCCTTGTGGAATTACAACAATCTACCCAGTAGACAAAATAAAGGGTTTGGTTCGAAATTCCAATCACCTGAAGAAGGCCAGAGCACACAATGGCCAAAATATTGTGAATATGGCAATAAAGATGAGGAGAACAGGCCAAACAACGTAAATAATTACAATACCTCATCTCAGGAATATAGACAGTGTAAATTACATCTACTGGTTTTCAAGAGACTTAATAAAGAACAGGAAGTGATATATTTACATTTAACCCAAGTAATGACCATTAAATTCTAATCAAGAAATCCTAAAATAATATTTTACTTCTCATTAAAGCAAACATATATGAAATTAGTAATCATGATTACAAATACAAATCATCTAAAATTAGTAGTGATAAGTTTAGTAATTAAAATGAATTTTTTAAAATGCTAACTTATTTTCTAAAAATAGTTTTATGTACTCCATCATAATTATTTTCATACTCTTGTTAACAGCTCTAGGTAATGAATATTATCAGACAGAAACAAAAATATTGCTGCAATGGAAATAAGTACTCACCAAGAGTGGGCGTCACTTTAATATGTAGAGACTGTAATGTGTTTGGGTTGAGGCTCACTCGAAATTGCAAACTTTCTACTTTAAATGCATTTACACCTGGTTCGTTGGACTGCATTGATTGTAACTGGGGGAGAAAAAAAGAAATATAAAAGAATTTAACACAAGATTTTAAAATGTTTTCCTATTAGTTGTTAGTATGTGAGAGTGGATCAATAAATCCATAGTCTGACATGGGGATTAGTTGAATTTTAATCTAAAATTTTCAACTATAATGTTCAATCCATGTGATTAATGGAAAAGTGTTATATTAAATACATTAACAAAGAAAAAGACTATGTTGAAAAATAAATGCATCTATATCATCATTAGACAAACTAAAAAAAAGAAAAAAGATTTTACTTTTTTAATCAAATAATGTTACAAAGTAATGAAATCTTTATTTGCTTTATTAAATATAAAGCTACCAGCAAAAAGAAAAAAAAATAACATCCAAACAATTTAAAAGCAACATACTTCAAAGGATATTTAATTGACAACTAAAAATATGTAAGCCCATATGCATCTAGATAGATCAAGATGGCAGTAGAAAAATATTTTCACATAACATTTTATAAACTTAATATGCTGCATATGACAAATTCCAACTTAGGAATGGCATTATTGAATAAATAGATTGCTCACGACCAATAATTTATCTGATTCTGAATTTAAAGCATAATGCAAAAATTTGGTAGATAAAAATATTAGTTAGATTATACAGCTAATGAAGTTTCTTTCAAATATAAACCAATAAAAAAACGCCTATAAAAGTAGAAGTCATAAATCAAATCACTTTTGTTCAGTTAATGTGTAATGTCAAATAAATCATCATGATTACAAATACAAATCATCTAAAATTAACTACAAAAATTATTTAATTCCATTTGAAGAAGCAAAAAGATTCAGTTTTTTTGTTGTATTTTATGAATAAAGAAGCAAACTTAGAAAAACACCAGCTTCAATGTAAATGTCTAATTGAAAGGCTTACAAACACAAGTTTAACAAAATGAAATGTTCTGATTGCAAACTAGAACACTTTAAAACTCACTTTAGCCACCTGAATTCATATTCTTAATATCAGGTAGCCTAAAATGGTTTGTTCTAGTTTTTTTGTTAGATGCCGTTAGGATTCTTCTTCATGATGTGGGTAATCATGGCTCTCCACAACTTCCAGTCTTTTTGCTATCCCTCCTAATCCCTGATCTGCCAACCATTTACACAAGCTTCTTAGGTAGGTTATTTCCTGTTTTCCTCTGTACCTCTTGCCTCCAATGTCCTGTTAGTGTCAAATTCTCCAAGCCCTCTTTCCTCATCATGTGCTCTAGAAATTTCAACTCTAATTCTAAGTATCCTTTTTGTTAACTATTTTCCCTAAATCTTTGTCATCACTCACATTTTCAGCCCATGGTATTCTCAGCATCCTTCTAAGCAGTACCACATTTCTATTGCCTCAAGGATTTAGTTTTAACCTTATTCAAAAATGTTCATGACAGCTGTCATATCAGCATGTTTTTTGAATTTGTCAAAACTGGCACATTTTTGTTAACTGATTCTAAAATTTTCAGCATATTCTGCATTTACACTATTCAGACTATTGCCCTCATCTTTGCCGCCATATTTATTACAATGTTTTGACCATTGTATGCTCCAGCCTTCTTAAACGGTTGGAATATCAAACTGAACCCTTTATTTCGCTCACTGGGGTAGACTGTTCTAGTTCCACGTGCCATGTTTAATAGATATCAGTTATCTCCTGTTAATTCCCCTCTGCAAGTTCTCCACTGCTTTAACCAGGTATTGAACTCACACTCTTTGGGTCCTGTCACTGGATCTAACCAACACCGTTATCCACTGTGCCAGGTGTCCTTGGAGTGAAATAAAGGGTTCAGTTCAACATTCCAACCACCTGAAGAAGGCCGGAACGTACAACAGCCGAAACGTAATAAATATGGCAACAGAGATGAGGACAATAGTCCGAATAATATAAATAGTGTACATAATACCTCATCTCAGAAATATAGGCAGATATTCTGCATTTGTTTTTTTTAAATAAAAATGCAATCCAAAGAAAAACAAAAAAGATTTGGGCAGCTTGTTAAGAAGGTACTGTGAATCCTCAAACATGTCAAAAGTGGCTTGTGGCATTTCATGTTGGAAATTTCTCACCGAATATGGCTCTGTGGTTAGGGAGATCAAAGGAGATTGCAAGCAAATAAATAAACACACTATACGAGAATTTATTATGACATGGGAAATGGCCAACATATTTAAAATATACAAATCAAGTGTTGAAAAATCATTTGTACCAAGTAGGAGGCATGTTTCTTTGATGACAAACATTCTAAGAGCTTAGTTCAGAAATTTTCATTTCTTTACCAAATTCAGCAGATGACAAGTTTGGGGATTATCATCTTTAAAGAATAGACTCAACAGAAAAAAATCTTTAAAAAAGTACAAAGACCAGTTCTTTGTTCAGAAAGATAAAACTCCTGGGAAGATGGCATTAAAAGATTTCATAAAAAGTAGTAAGACAAAACAGCAAAGTTTATATTTGAAAATAAAAAAAAATAATTTTTTTTATTAAATGAACATTTTTGGGTCACCTAATAATACAAGTGCCTGTTGATGAAAATTGATGTTGAAAGAAGTAAGATTTAAAAAAAAAACAAAAAAAAAAACCAAAACAATATACCTACCGAAGTTTCACCTTGCATAACTCTGGGCAGATGTCTCCGGAAATAAACACAACCAAGAAAGCGTTCCAATGGTGATGCAGGCAAGAAATTCATTCCTGGTAGCAAACATGGGCTAAGTAGTTTATTGAAAGCATCATGGGACAAAATGGTAGGGATGGATGCAGCCCATGACCTTTGAGAAAGCATACGAGGAGGAGGGCTTACAACTATAAAAAAAAAAAAAAAAAAAAAAAAAAAGATAAATTACAATAATAATTAGGTTGGAAATACAACAAGTAGAAAAGATGGTAAATATTTACAATATTTTGACAAGTATATCAGCAAATTTCATCATTCTTTTGTTTTAGATTCTTACAATGGATATTTACAAATTAATGATTCATATTAATGTTGGCTTTGTTAAATAAAGGTGCAGCAGTAACTTGTGAAAATTAAAAAGATCATTATTATTATTATGAAGATTTATTCATTACTACAGTTAATGATTACACTCACATCTTTCACGTTTGGAGCTTGCCAAAATTTTCAAAATCCAAAGAAGAATCAGCAATATTATTGGTCCTGACGTAACATCTCTGCTTCAGTCACTTTCCCACTGTCATAATGTAGCTTCCCTGTGCTTTTTCTATAAATACTTTCATGATAATTGTTCTGATAAACTTTCCTCTGTTACATAGACTTTATGAATTTAAGTGCAGTATTAGATTGGTAGCAAGGTCTCATCAACTTACAGTTCTATTGACACAACCATAAATTCTATTCTAACAGTTTTTCTTCTCATGCACTTTTTACTCATGGAACTCAACTTCTTGGCTCCAATGCTTTCCAGCCAACTTTCATCTTCAAAAATTTAAATGCAATGTCAATCCTTATCTACTGACTTCTTGATTACTCTTTTACTTTTGTCACTCCTTAATAATGTTTCCCTTTTTCTTATTCTTTCACACTCAATAGTCTTTGTGGCTTTATTGCCTTGCTTTGGGTGAAATGATTAAAAAATAAGAAGTCGAAAAGGATAGTCTAGTAGAATGGAGTACACATTATATCTGAAAAATGCAAGCAAAATGCATGTTTTGTTCTTCAAAGGCAGGTGCTGTGCTATGCTATAAGCAATTTTTTTTTGCTGACAAGTTCAGTTTATCAATTTACAGTTTCATCTTTCTACAAATAATCCATAAAGCTTAGCAAATTTTACTTTTAGGAAATAAAAGTGCAACTTTCATTTAATCTAAAATGGTATTAAATGAGGACATTAAAACTTAGAATTAATAATACATTTCAATTTCAGAATTCCTTTGTAAACCCTTTTTTTTCAAGCTCTGGTAGGAATCACTTCACTTTTAGAATATATAATTAAAATTAAAAAGTTATGACTCACTGCTGGAAAGGTTTTTATTTAAAGAAAATTTCATGGATATTTACAAGTTACAATCATATACACTTCCCTTCTATGTATTATTAATTGAAAAATCCAATCTGGAATCTTAAAAGCAAACAGTATATTGAAATCATATGAAAGATCTTTAGTAAACTTTAAAACTAAACAAGACACACTCTTCCTAAATATGTACAAAGTCTGAACAAAAAGTATCAGGACTAGTGCTATAAAAAAAAAAAAAAAAAAAAAACTACAACGCATATCAATTCGGCATTTAGTACCCTTCTGAAGCCACACTCTTTATCCGGCGTCATTTCCACTGATGGAAGCATTCCCAGAACTACTTTTCTGGGATAGCCAGCAGTTACCTCATTGCATTCTCTTGGATTTCCTTGACTAAATCTTGCTCTTTTTAAGGGAGATTCGATTTTTAGGAAAAGGAAAAAGTTGCAGGGGCCAAGATCTAGGGAATATAGTAGTTGTTGGACATTGAGAATGCTGTGTTTGGCTAAAAATTGCTGCTCAAGCCAGGGTCACTGATGGAACCATTGTGGTGTGCTGAGGCAACCACACTCTACACACTTTCCTTCCAAGCACTGTCATAAACAATGGAAGTGAGCAAAAACATTATAATCTAGTGTGCATGCACAACAGAGTTCAAGATCAATCTGTGCCGAGTGGTTTCCCTCAACATACTTTAGCTCCATTATCATAGCATCAAACCTTGAATATATATATTTTTTAATGCGATGTCAATTCAGGACATAGGTGATTGTGCCTCTTCATAAATTCCTTTTCTTTATTATCTGTAAGTTGCCATGATTTCTTAAGATAGTATAGTCATTTCCTGTTGCATTCCACATGGCTTGAATTCAGAATTGCCATTTTCCTCGGCCAGATGCTAGCCAGGATTATAGATTCAAATCTGCACTGTTATTTAACTCACATCTGGAAATCTATCTTCCCCCATGGGCACTTTTGAACTTGGTTTGACGATTCCACTTTCCACACCCTTACGCTACCAATAGCCCTAAATTTATAGATGACTATATATAATAAATAATATTAGTATTTATAGATGACTATATTCAGTTGTTGTTCTGATAGAATCAACTGGCAATTAAAATATTGAATGGCAAGTTTTAATATCCAAGTGATACCCAGCATTCGGTCTTAAATTTTAACTAAACCCAATCTCTTAATTCAAAAAGGACAGGTGAAGCTTCTATCTATAAAAATAGATTCAAGTATACCAATGACTGTAATAAACCAAGAAATAATGCATACATAAAAATTGATTTTTGAAGAAAAAACAAAACAAAAGATGCTGCTAGATTAATCAAGTGGTTTAACAACTTATTGGAAAAAAAGTAATAGCTTCCAAAAAGTCATTGGAATAAATAATCTGTTTTATTTAGAATTTTACCATAAAACAAAATGTGCATGTGTGTATCTTACCTGAGGATTTTGAATGTTCAGAATCCTTCACCTGAGTTTGTGGAGAATGTAAAGCTGGATGACCAGGAGAAGTAGCAGTTCCATGTCGAGATACAGGTGAAGGGCCCTGTACAGAAGGTGAACCAGGCCAATTCCGTGTGCCTGGGGATGGCATTGTAAAAGGTGAACCTCCATCAACCATGCCTAGAATAAAGACAAAGATGCTTTTAAAATTTCACAACATTTACTTATAAAAACTTTAATGACTAATTCAAAGAATTTCTGGCTTCTAGTTAATAATTTCTTCTTTATGCAACATTTCTTTTTTTTTTTTTCCATTTGAAGCATCATTATGGTTAAATGTGATAAGAGAAACATCTACAGGTTTCTGCTCCTCAAGTTCTATTTTACTAGATATGGAAATAGAAAGTTGTTGTAATTAAAAAAATATTTCATACTTTTCACTACAAAAAGAAATCTTATACTAAAGGGGTCATGTTATACAGTATTTTATAATAAAAAATTATCTTGCTTGAACCAGTAGTATGTTTTTAAAAATAAATTTTTTAGCAAAATATCAATCTGAAAGATTATCATCATTTACTGCATTTTTTTCTTTAAATACTTCTTACCACATTCAATAAATTGTTACAAATCTTGTTTTTGGGTTTTAATTTTTTTTTTTTTTTTTGAAATCATCCTAAAATATTAACCTTTAGCATCCTGCAATATTCATAAGTATTTCATCCATTAAGTATAAATTGCCAGACAACTGCAGTAGCATCATCATCTTTTCTCAGTCATTTTCCTACTGCCATAGTAGGATATGACAACACTAACACAAAATATGACAACACTAACACAAAATTCAACCACACTATTGTCTGATGATCAGAGTTGCAAGCATTGGCTGTAAAAACATTTTGTTTGACAAATGAAGTCACCTATATACAGTGTTAAAGGCTAAAATACAAAAAGTAATACTTTCTCTTAGAAAACTGACATTATTTTTAAAACTCAACATACTTTCTTTCATTTACTATATTTAAAACATTATATATGTAGATAGATAGGTAGATAGGTACTATGAAATGAAGCAATGTTTAACATTTATATCAAGTGTAAGGAAAAGTTTCCATCATTTTTTTTTAAATTCTAGACTGAATACACAGTTAAAAACTGTGGTTTCTCAGGGAAGTTTTGCACATGCTTAATATTTAAAAGCAGCAAATACAAAAAGTTATTTTATTTTTTCATTTTCTGATTCTACACTTTGCAAGATTAAATAGAAAATGTATTACATATTTTGAAACCATGGCAATAAAAAAAAAACTATGGTTTGGACATTTTTGTTTTTAACAGACCTGATCTATTATAACATATTCTAACAACATATGGACAAAAACGTTTCATAGCTGAATCTATTAAATTTTAATTTACAAAATTAAAACGCAGGTCCAGTTGTAAACAAATTTAGATTTGCATAATTAACAGTTTTTTTAAAAGAAATCTCTTCAAATATTTTGGAAAAAAAAAAATAAAATAAAATAAAAAATAAAAAATAAAAAAAAATAACGAGGTCAAAGTAGGTTCAATTTGTTTGAGAAATAGTTGGATTTTTCATGTCTATAGTTACACATTTCTCAAGGGAAGTAACTCTGATATATTGTTTATACCACAGAATATACGTTCTCACTTTCGAATCTTTAATCATCTTTAGAGGCCTATAAAATTCAGCTAATAAAACATGAGATTTGATATGATGATTAAAATGTTTTAAAGTATAGCTGAAATAATAATAAAAAAGCTTACAATAATGTGCATTTAAACAATTCATCTTCAGATTATGAGAATAAAATAAGGTTATCATTTTACTTACCTTGGGGAGTGATGAATGGTCCAGCAGGTGATGAAAGATGAATACCAAGAGACTGTGGTGAAGGAGCTGGGACAAAGGACCCAGGAGATGGGACATGTAGCTGTGGGTTACCTGGAGATCCACTCTGTACCAATAAAGTACCAGGTGATGGGGTACTAATCAGAGCAGCAGATGGACTATGAGACACTTGGGTGGGCAGTGAAGGTGGAGAAGAAAGGGAGAAAGCAGCAGCAGGAGAGGATGCATATCCCTGAAAAACAAAATAATAAAATGCTGGTAACAACACACACACCAAAAATGTACCAGTTTTAGTCCCTAGATTAATCACATGAGAGATTTAGAAACCAAAGATTCTTGTAATAACAAATCATTATATTGCATGGAGATTAAAATGTATAAGCAAAGAGTAAAATGCAAAATGTTATGCTTAATTCAGGTAAAAACAGGTAAAATAAAAAAAAGGAAAAGAAATTAAACAATATATATATCTATCTCCCAAATTACCCTAACTTAAGAAAACGAACTGGCCTATAAAAATGGTCTGTCTGTGATACAAGAAATGAAATTGTTACATGATCTTTGACACTGAGAGCCAAAAGAGAGAAAAAAAGAAATAGGGGGAAAATGTTGACAAGAAAATTATGAAAAATAGAAATGGCTACATTTGACATATGCGCATGCATACACAAAACATAAAGAGAAAACAATTCAACCTAACACTAATAAAAGCATCCCAATTAGTGCATGAATTAATTACATCAAACTTAGATAATGAAAAATGAGAAGAATGGCAGTCAATTGCTGAAATCTGACATGTGAATGGAAAAATTATAGACAATTTTGTCTACAAAACTCCAGAATAATCAAGATGCAGAATATGTCAATCAGCTAAGTGACAAACTTTATTTGTACTAACCATATATATATATATATATATATATATATATATATATATATATGTAAATATATGGATATAAATCCGACAGTATGAAAGAAAAATACAGAAAATACAAAATTCTGAATATGCATTATTAATGTTAAAATAAAGTCGACGTTTCGGTCTATTTAAGACCATCTTCATGGACATTTTCATTTAAACATAATTAACATTATAACTTATAACAATTTAACACAAAAGACGATGGATATAAGAGCCCAACTAATTCAAACAGATAACTGAAATCGACTTTTTGATATTTTAATTTTTGGAAATCATCTTCGAATACGTCTTAACAACATCGCCCACGAGACGACTACGTGATCATATTTAAACAGAACGCTGATCTGTATAAAATTTCAGTTATCTGTTTGAATTAGTTGGGCTCTTATGTCCATCGTCTTTTGTGTTAAATTGTTATAAGTTATAATGTTAATTATGTTTAAATGAAAATGTCCATGAAGATGGTCTTAAATAGACCGAAACGTCCGACGTCGACTTTATTTTAACATTAATAATGCATATTCAGAATTTTGTATTTTCTGTATTTTTCTTTCATATATATATATATATATATATATATATATATATATATATATATTTATTACTAGGCTGAAGTTTGCTATGGATGATTTTTTTTTTTTTTTTTTGCAAAACCTCAGGTAGACTATGAGAGGTTTACCTCAGAGACCATTAAAAGAATTTTAAAGAGCCATTAAAAAAAACTTTTGTGTGTTATAAAAATTGTGCAACCCTGAAAAACATTTTCAGTCAGAAAATCTTCAGGATTAAACTAGATTTTTTTTCAGGTGTGTTGGATATAAAAAATTGTCCTAAACTATTGTTGGATCTTGGATGAATGGGAGTGGTGGAATCTTATTCAAAATCTAATAATCATGGTAGAGTTGGGAGCATAATCAGTTTCACAATTGTAAATTATCAAATTAGAATTTAAACTTTTCTAAATTTCCATGAAAATAAACATGCGAGAGCAAGGGGAATTTAAAAGAAAATAATATGCAAGTGGAGTGTGGGTGGTATGAGAGTATAAAAAGTACTAGCTGGATAGGTAAGTAAAAAGAAAGGATGATGTGTCCGTTACCAAAATTCAAAGACTTGAAAGAAATTTCAATTCTTCATGATGCTCTGCATTTCAATGAGCAATAAGGCATAAGGCCAATCTTTCAAGATCACTGACCTCAACCTGACTATGTTGCTGTTGTGTTGGATTCACAAGTAACCTTTTTATACTGGCACTCGGTGGGAGAAGAAGCACTAACCCTGTGTACCTAAGAGCCCTTTTAGCCTAAGGGACTAAATCATTTGTTTGATTTTGGATATCAAAATATTTGATTCAGAAACATTTTTACATGTATAATTTTTTTATTATTGTATTTGTTATACAAAAAGAAATATATTAACATTTTCCACTAGTGGAACATATTTTTCTTTCATTTTTTTTTTTTTTATACTAGATGAGCATTATCAATAACATACACAGATAAAACTAAAATACAGTATGTGCATATACATCATGTTAAAATACAATTAATGCTAGTGTAGTATAAAAAAAAAACTATATGGGCAGTAAAAGGTTAAAGAACATATTTTTCCCCTGTGTAATATTTGTAGTTATTTCCCGCCCAGAAAATACCAGGTATCCCTGCTAGTATTTAAACCAAGATTTCATATTTTCAAATCCCAGCTCAAAATGTTGATTCTTGATAGACCTGAAGTAGCACCTCATTCAGAGAAAAGTAAATCAAAAATACTCAAAGATTGAAGCCAAGGGCTACTAATTTATTTCTTTTTTCATTGTTTTCCATGTTAAAGGAGATGCTGAAAAATTCTTGGTACAACCTACTTCCCACAAGCAGTATTTCATTATCCAGAAAATAGATTTTACGAAGTAGATCAGCCCAAAAGCTTTTTAGCATTTCCTCATATGAAATATCCAGTAATGAGAGTATGGTTGATCTTAAAATCATTTACTGTGCTGCTTTTTCCTTATTACCTATTCTCATAAATGACAATCTCCTCTGTAATAAACAAATAACACTATATCCTGGGTATGACAATAAACTACATCCAGCAGCAAGGCCTCTGATTTTGAGGAGCAGGGAACCACTTCTTAATTGCTAGTGTTCCCAGGTCCACCATGACCCAGAGCGGTAGCACCTGTTAGGGTCCCAACTATGGGCAAATAGTTAACCCTCAAACTTGGGTCAAAACATGTAAAAATAGATTTTAATACTAGCAATACATTTTCTAAGAAAAATTATTACCAGCAATATATTTTTGGAAACATTACCAGAAATAATTTTTGGAAAAAAATATTACTAGTAATAAAAATCTTGTCAGCATTGAATAACCCATTGAGATTGATATACTGTAAAACAAACCAAACCAAACAAATAACACTGACAGATCTTGAAATGGTTTATTAATTGCAAAAAAAAAAAAAAAAATGATGTCAATCTTTCAATGTTAATACAACAAACAATTAAATTGCTACATTGATTAGTTAGAGAAGACAAACAACTTACTGATGATATTCTGGAGGCACTGGGCGAAGCGGGAGTATGTGGATTAGAAGGTGGAGTCATAGGGTTTGGAAAGCGCAGATTGCTATCTTGACGTGGTCGAGATGCTGGAGAACCTACAGAAGGGTTCTGGGGTAGAAAAATATCCATTGGATCAATTCCCACAGGGGAAAGTGAATGATCCTCATCTGTAGTAGAGCGGCGACGAGGGTGGTTGCCAGTCACTGTTTCATCCACAAACATGTTCAAGAAAGCCTAGAAAATTAAAGATCGTTTAACATTTAGTTCTGATTTCAGTGTGAATGATACAAGGAAGAGATATGCATATAGAAATGATTTTAAAAAGCAATAAACATTAAGACTTTATTAATTCAGTTTTGCTTAATCATATTCATCTTTCTTGAAATGTATCAAAAAAAGAAGCAGAATTCAAAGCAGCACATAGGCAGATTATTTACTCAGAATTCTGAGTAACATTCTGAGTAAATGCAAATAGTTGCAATGAAGAGCAACTGAAATTAAAATAAAAGAAATATTAGTCAAAAACTTAGTAATGACTAAAACTGCTTCATATGAGAAATACAAGTTACTGATTTTTTTTTTCAAGTATAGGCAAGCTATTAGTAACCCAGCAATAGCTTCCACAAGAGCAATTTCAGATTTCATAGGCTGCTGTATAAACATGCCACTACTGTTTGCTAGCTATAGATGCTGTTGCATCAACTGTTATTGAGCATTTTAAAACACTGTGAAGGCATTTCTACATTTTTATTATAACCTGCTAACATTTAGTCATGGCTCCAATGAATACAGAAAAGTTCTTCTCATGGTGTAAAGCACAAACACTATACATTGTCCACAACAGACAAAGTACAGGGTGAGGCAGAAATATCTCCCATTGAGACATTAACTAGGTTAGTGTTTCTCAGCCTTTTTAAGCAACAGCACACCTAAGAGCAAATGAGAATATCACAGCACACTTATCAAAAATTTTTATGGGTATACATTTAAAAGTAATGAAATAAAACCATGGATTTTTTTTAAAAATACACACACACAAATATAAACTTACTTTATTTCAATGTTTCTATTTAACTATTTGTACAGCTTAATTAGTGTGAAATCTGTGCCTGGTGTTTTTTTGTTTTTTTTTTCATGAGTTCTTCAATGTTTCATTCTTCCATGAAAATTTTTTGCAGCATACTTAAGAGGATCCCATGGTATGGCATTTCAGAATCACTGAGCTAGATGAAGACATCCTTGACATTAATGTTATACCATTATGTGGGAGGTATTTCTGCTGCACAGTATAGAAGGTGATTTTCATTTAACTTCCCTTTTTTCCTTTATTAACAAACATTTACTGATATACAGGGTATCTTAAAGCAAGGATGAAGTGGTTAACATTACCATCAATAACTCGGCAAAATCATTTATCAGGCACAGTTCCGAATGTTTAATCATGGCTCCAATGAATATGGGAAGTTCTTCTCATCGTGTAAAGGACAAACATCATATATTGTCCATAACAGACAAAGTGGAAAGTGATTTTCATTTAACTTCTCTTTTTTTTTTCTTTATTAATCAACGTATACTGATTTACAGGGTATCTTTAAAGGTTGGATGAAGTCGTTAACATTACCATCAATAACCCTGCAGCACAGATCCCAATGATGCGAGTCAAACTGTACGTATTTTTCTTTATTTTTCTTACTGCGAACAAAATTTTAAAATGTCCCCAAATTTATGTACAGATCAAAATTAATAGCAAGGAACACAGAACTTATTGTTCATAAGGTGCCAATTTAGTGCAGAATAAAAGAAGATAAAAAATATAGGTGAGCCTTAAAAGCAACCAATTATTACATGTTGCAAAATACTAAGAAGAATATATTACTTTCTACTTTCATTTAACTCATAATTTGCTCAATACAAACCAAGCTTTTACCAAACAAACAACAGTTATTAATCTTTCTGGCAGTATACATAACAGAGGACTATGAATATTGTAAGAAATGCAAGTGACTTACTTTCAATCCTGGAGTTGGACTAAAGCCATCAATAACTTTGCTTGTGTCAAACAGGCTGATGGCACCATCACGAACAGCAACCATCTTGCCAGCACGGAAATGCACATCCACACAACTCCTGGACACAGTTAAGGAAATGTAGGAACTCACAAAAATAAATAAAAATAATAGCTACAAAATTCTAAGAAACTATTAGTAGCATCTTACTATGTCTAAAAACAGACAAAATTTAAACCATTTAATAAAGAATAAGAATGATATGATTAAAAAAATGGAAAACTAAAAGTGATTTGTAATTAGTGTTCAAGAAACAATAACAGAAGTATATTTCATCTAAAAGATATTTAATTTAGAAATAAGCTAGATACATATAAAAATAACTAAAGAAAAGTATTTAACATATAGATTTCAAATTTCAATGAAATCTGATAAAAGCTAAAAAAGAGCCAAGTAAGAAAAGGAATTAAAAAAAAAAAAAAAAAAAAAAAAAAAAGAAAAAAAAAAAACATTCATACAAATATACAATTTAGGTACATTGATACTTTTATATGAGCATTATAATTAGGTTCTAATAAAAAATTTTTGTGACTTTTTCCACTTTTAACCCTTTAGCATTCAACATGCTCAAACCCACCCCATAAATATTGGTGATCAATGTCTCACTGTTTGCATGACTTCCTGCATATATTTGCAATTATGTCATCTATTAAGGCAGAGCGGGCTACAGTGGATTGAACATTAAGATCTGATATTTACAGGACAGGTTGAATGTTAAAAGGTTAATGAACCACCTGGTTCTTAAATTATTGTCTATTCACCTGGAATTCTTGAAATACAAATTCAACTATCCTTTAATTCTAAAATACAAAACATAGAAATGTTGGTCAAATAACCTACGCACTGTTGTAATGTTGTTTGGTTTGGCGCATATCAACCTCAATGAGTTATTTAATGCCGACAAAATTTTTTATTGCTGGTAATGTTTTTCTTCAAAAATTTATTTCTGGGAATATTTTTCCTTGAAGAAATCTATAGCTGGTCATGTTTTTTCAAAGAATGTATAGCTGTTTGTATTGCTGGTATTTTTTTTTTTTTTTTAAAGTATTGCTGATAATTTTTCCTTCAAAAATTATTGCTGGTAATTTTTTTTTCTTTATTACAAAGTATTTCTGGTATTAAAACCTATTTTTACACAAGTTTGGGTGTTAACTATTTGCCCAAAGCTGGGACCCTAACAGATGCTACCACCCCGGGTCAGGGTGGACCTGGGAACACCAGCAATTAAGAGGTGGTTCCAGGCTCCTCAAAACCTCCTGATCAGAGGCCTTGCTGTTGAATGTAGTTTATCGTCATACCCAGGACAACTACCCACTGCTGTAAATGGATAACACATTTTTTAGCCCAACCAATGAGTCCTGAAACAGAAATCTGATACCTGGTCAGATTTGAGGAAGCAGTATAGACCAATAACTTTTCAGCACTGTCATAAATATCTTTTCAGAAGCTTCTCCAAAATTAGCATTACAATAACAAAAGAAAATTATTTTTCTTTTAGATTCTAAATAATAATGAGTGATTTTGAGATTGTGGGAACAAAACTAATACTAGCAAGTAACACATTTACAAACATAGGAATATAACAAAAGGTTTTCTGAATTTTATGAACAAACATATCAGAAATGGAACAAGTCATTAAAACTATCAAAAAAAATTTAAAAAATAGTATGAAGTCAGAAACAACTTTTTGTCTGTTGCAAGAAATAAATTCTATTTAAATAGACCGATTTTCCTTTTACATTCAATTCTAAGAAAATTTCTTCAAACCTTTTTCAGGCAAAAAGTAAAAAGGATACACATTTCGAAAAGATATCCTCACATGTGTGGCTGATTGTGGAATGACTGTGAAGCTCAGCATTGGCTGTTTTGGGTACTGTAAATGACACAACAAAGATAATTATTATGATAAATTTTAAGATATTTATAAGTTCTAACAGGAAAAGTCAAATATTTCTAAGTATGAGTAAATCTATAAGAAAAGGAATTCCTTTTATTAGAGCAATAAAATCAATTCATAATAAAAAAGAGGGGTAACAAAAAATAAATAATACTATAAAAAGGTAATACTGAAATATAATGATTAAAAACATCTAAACTGGTATATCAGTCCTCTCTCATCAAAGCATAAATTGAGGACAAAAAAAATGTGCAGAGTGACTAAAAAAAACATACAACCCTAGACTAATGTTATGTGTAAAAAATATATAACATAAAAGGCTAATTAGTTTTAATCCTACCAACTACACCTCCTGCTTACAGAGAGATGGCTGGTAGGACTTAATGTACGCTGATTCCAAAACTTTCAAGGGATAATTGATGTTAGCCCTACTCAGCACCAAGAACATGTCTGGACTATAAAACTGGACATGCTGCTGGTTTTTAATCAAATGTTCAGCTATTACTCTACCTGATACATTAATGCACCTATGTAACAAAACAATATTTCCATGCAAAAAGAATTATGTTAAAATTAAAAAATATCTAAATTATTTTTAAAATCAACATAAGATAATAGCATTATTAATGTCTTTTCCTTTCTTATTTGGTTCATCCATCAATTCAGTTTATATATAGTAATTATCAAAATTTCTCAGTGTTATTTTAACAAATATCAAAAGAAATTCAAATCATTAATACAAAGTTAATTAGAAAACGTCTGCACAAAACAAAATATTAAAGTAAAGCATTAATAAGTCAACAAAGTTAATTTAAAACTAACAAAGTTAAAAGAGGAAAGCTTTTAAAGAATGTTTCAATTTTAGTAAACATTAATTTGATTGTAAAAATGCAGGTTTTAAAATGTGTAGCATCTGTCAATTTAACTCTTAACTAATCAAAATTGTTTTAAGTGTTGCCATAGAAGAATATGTCTACACAATAAAGAAATTCAAATTGCATTAGTAGGACTAACATTTTGCTTGGCAAAAATAGTCACCCGCAGAGAACAAAAGATTAAAGAAATCCTGGGTTTGCATCAGGAATTTTTTTTTTTTTTCTTTTTTTTTTTAATTGACCTGGTGTTGGTAAAAGTGTCTGGTTTTACCAATCAAGTACAAATGAGGTAACAATGGAACTGTTATTTAGGCAGGATTTTTTTATTTTTTTTATGAGGATCAGAGGTTGCCCATGCAGCATGTCCTCTTTTTGCCACGCCGCCAATGTTGTCCAAGAGAAGTGCAGAGGTTAATACCGCTTGGTACCAGAGTCATAGTAAGAGTTGCCAGAACAAGTTGGGATTAAAGTTTGGAACACCAGCTCAGGATTTTAGTCTTAGAACTAAAGTCTTTTTCATGATAGAATGCCACAAGGCAGCAGTAGACGTTTGAAGTAAGAGTTTTCCTTCTTTTAGATGGCTAAAAAGTTCCATCTACCCGATTTGAGTATTAACTCTCCCATTGTATGTCTGTATGATACACTTTGAGTAAATCCATTAAAAAGTGATTTTCTTTATTGTTTAAAGAAAACATTAAATATCCCATCCTCAACACACATCCTAACTATATCTGCTAAAAAGTGATCATACCCTACTATGAACATTTGAATACTTTTGAAGTGAGAGTAGCAAAGATAAATTCTGTTAATTTGTTTAAAGTAAAACAAAATTCAGCCTGATACTTACTGTAGATGCTCCAAATATAGGAGAAGTGGTCAATTTGTTGATGGATGTTAATGGACTCCAAGTGTCATTCAACAACTGTATTAAATAAAAAAAAAAAAAAAAAAAAAGGAATTCTAAAATTTACTATCTCGTGTGTTAAAGATTTAAAAAAAAAAAAAAAAACAAAGTTATTTTTTAAAAGATAAACCCATGCCAATAACATTTATGTCTTGGACCATATTAAGCAGAATACACAAAAACATAGCTATAAAAAGAAAGGGAAAAAAGTTTAATTGCAATGAAAAATGCTAGTGAAACAAGGATTTTTACTCCTAGTTGCAGTGCAAATTTTAAGCCTCACAGTTTCACTTTCTGACAATCAGCTCAACAACCGAAAATGATTGTTTTAGCATCTCATCATTATTGATGAATCATGTAATGCTCTTGCCCTTTTTCTCAGCAAATAGAAAAATAGAATTGTTAAACTGTATCAGTAAAACCTATTTATATGGAGAAAAATGTTTGAAAAACTTTGCTTTAACATCACAAATTCTTGGCTAGTTCAAAACATCATGATTGAAAATATATTTTCAGAAAGATTTTATCAACTAGTGTAAATATTTTTAATTGTTGGACAATTGATAATAGACAACATGTTTACATTTTTGTTAACCTTTCTCTGCAAATGTAAGACAAGCATTAAGGTGTTCACATTTCTCTCAACATACATTCAAGCTCTTTACTAGATTAAAATGGCAATACAAGTACTAAGCACTAATAGAGGAATTTGGTTGATAATTTACCTGGACTAGATTGGCAATAGCATCAGGGCTGTTAGTGTTGTTGAGTTCTTCCTGAAGCTGGGTAAGCATCAAGACATGAGGATTTATGGTTGTTGCATTTTGTCCACATGTACCAAGGGTCAGATGAAACAATTTGGTATCCACTTTCCACATTATGTTCACCTTTGATAGCAAAAAACACACAAAATTATTCAAAGATTATTTTGAAAAGGTTGGAATTGTTAATCACAGAGCCAAAATTCCAAGGGAAAGGTATGAATCCACCTCTTCTTAGTAAGACTTGTATCACTAAATCATTATTATCTTAAAAAAAAAAATTCTTACTATCTAAAAATATTTTCTTGGCTTTAAATAGCCTAAAAAGGGTTGATGAACCATAGAAAAATCAATCAATCCATCAACCAATTAATGGTTCCAACAAATTCAAGATAATTGAAAAAAATTTCTATAAAAATTTATCAAGTCAAAAATGGAATTTACATTTCATGATGAAATTTTCCTGACAATGTTTTAAGAATGCCAAAGAAAAATACTTTAATGACTAAGTAATAATGCTATGAATTTACATAAAAGATTCTGTGAAAACTGCTGGAAGTTTTTACATTAACAAAACCAAATTAAGTACAAAATTCTGTTTTTTCTACTCTCATATTTTATCAATTATCAACAAAAATTATAAATGCACTTCAATCAGGTAAGTTCACCTGTTGTCAACAATGCAAAATAAATTCTTTTGATTCATTTTTTTTTTTTATTTATTAATTATTTAAATATCAAACAAACAGTAAATATATGCCTGTCCATTTTTAAAGCCAAATAAAAATTATCTGGCTTTAAAAATAGACAGTCATATACTTATTGTTTATCTGTGTCAGGTAATAAAAACAACAAAAATGTCAATGCAAAGCAAATAGTAAAAGGAAAGGGGGGAAAAAAAAAAAAAAAAAAAATCAAATATCAATAAAAATTCTAGTACTTATTTTACCATTTATTAAATTTGCTACAAAATTCTTTGTAATAAAATTTAATAGAAATATTTTCTCCACATTAATTTTATCTTGTCAATTAATCATGACTTTTGACTGCATAAACATCACCAGATTAAAAAAAAAACAAAAAAAAAACAAATGAGATAAAATTTAATTTTGTTGGAAAGTGAAAATTTTTAAATGCAAATATAAAATTATAGAGATGTTCTTGAAAAGTTTTTAAAGAGATGGAAATGATTAAAAAAATGATGTTATTTTCATTTGTGTGTTATACAAGCTATTTTAAAATAATACTATATTACCAGTCATATGTATCACTGGAGATATTTATGATTTGCAAAACAATTTAGCACAATTCTAATATAACTATTCCTTCTACTGGGGCTGGAAGTGTAGGTTCTCAAACTATGCTAGAAAGTACAAATAATTTCTATATAATTATAGTGGATAAAAAAAAAAAATAAAAATCAATCTTTTTAGTAACCATTGAATTTCATGATATTAAAAAAAGTTGTGTACTCAATTCAGTTTTAGCTACACACACACACACCTGAAGATAATGCCCCCCCACCACCACCACCACATATGACGATAGAAATGTTAAATAACTTTAATGTTAGATCCTATGTTGTAGCAGGGGAATAAAAAAAAAAAAAAGATCAATAAGGTTAGACATAACAGGCTGCTTGATAGACTCACCAGACTTGTACGAGTAGCTCCATAAACAATGGTGAGTTTCTTGTAGTTGTAAGATCTCACTTCAATAAGATCCTGAATACCAGTTCTTTTGTCTGAAAGATGTCATCAATTGAAACAAAATTAAAGCAACTTTTATGTTATTTTTCAAAAAAAAAAAAAAAAAAAAAAAAAAAAAAGAAAATATTAAAAATCAAAATATAAAAGTAAATAAAAAATGATAAAATTTCTTTTTAGTAAATTTTCATATCTTTATATATAGCAACTTTATAGGTTTTCTTTTGACTGTATATATTTAGGGCACAACATAAGCTTTAATTTTACTTATATGGTTATTTCAGAGTAGTAATCATGAAGTCAACTCAAAATAAAAATAATAAGTCAGCACATTCCCCAGTTGTGAATCCTGCACAAATTATTTAGACAGTAAAATAAGCTCAACAAATATTTTTTAAAAAAACTAATGAAGAATTAGTGATGATTATATAATTAGATTTTAAATACCAGTCAATTATTTATATACTAATTAGATATGTGCAGTATATAAAGTGAGAATTTACATGATTCTAATTTCCAGCTAAGATATTCAAAGCAGTTTTGACATCTAATGAAAAAAAATTTTAGCTCTGAAATGTCCATCTTTACAAAACTTTTGACTTTTAATTACTGCCACAATATACATTTTCATAGTACATATAAAAAACAATATAATAAAATAGAGTATGGAACAACCAACTTAAAATCATTCTGTTTGTTAGCTTTATTTTTAAAGTCAGATTTAAACAAGTCAAACTTTTCCGCAGGCATGTTACTGTAATGATGGCGTCGTCATCATAATAATTTTTTTTTTTTTTTCAAAATGGATACTTACCATTAAAGAAATGTGAAAAATTAGTGACAGCATTATAAAGATTAGCTACCATGGTCCACTCATCAAGAAGATCTTGAACAGTCTTACTAGCTTGGTCAGTATTTAGGTCAAATGAGAAATAAACTCGTTGAACTGGACCTAGTAGCAGAAAAGTAAAGATTTTAAAAAACAAAACTCATTATTTTAGTAAACTGAAAATATTAAGTATATTTATGAAAAAAATAAAATCAATTAATATTATCATTGGTTGTAATAAATATTGTTTAATGTTAAAAATCATAGGTTTGAAACATTTTACAATCTTTATAAATATTGATAACAATAAATACTGCTGAGTAAAAATTATGCAATATGAAAAACAATTGTTATTTATGTGATAAATGAACTCTCGATATCTGAATTAACTTTCAAGTGAAAATGAACCCAATAGCTTCAAGGAATATGATAACTTTGAACTAGCAGTTTTGATGTCAAAGTAATACACAAAAACAGATAAAAACGAAGCTTGTAGAAAAGTTAATTCTATTATCAGAATCTTTAATAAGATCAGATAAAAATTTAGACATATATTTAAAAATTGTTACAAAAATTGCAAACACTATATAAAACAAGCTTAAAGTATTTAATAAATGATGACAATTATTTTTAGAGCTTCTATTTGTAAATATTAACTAATTTTAGAAAATTTATTTGAGGAAATTGGCAAGATTGATTATTACATATTTTAAACAATTCCATATTTCATATAATGAAAGTGAATCTATACATTGTTTTTGTTCTTGAGAATTTACAACAAAAATATTAAACACTATTTATTTATTAGATTGTTCAAATCAATTGTCAATTAACCAGTGTTTTGCCAATCCTTCCAATAAACAATCTAATAAATAGTATTTATTATTTTTGATGTTAATTCTCAAGAACAAAGAACATGTAGAAATTCACTTTTATATATTTAGGTTTTATTACAATTCTAATCGTCACATTTTAAAACAATTGAGGAGTGAAGGTAGTTAAAATAATAGCAGTGTCAATGGAAAAACTGTCTTTTTGGCACTCCATGTTTTTGTGGGTACAAAGGTCCAGGTTTGCAGGATGTGTTTACTTTGGAAACAAAAAAAAAACCTTTGATCTTCTTGACTACTTTTCACTTGTTAAAGTACGCTTTAGATTTATGAAAAAATTTCAATAAATTCAACATCATTCAAAACTCTGGTTTCATTTTCTCATAATCATGCTGAATCTGTTACCTTTTTAATAAAACAAATATCAGTAACTGAATATGTCATGATTTGCAGGCCTTTTTTTTTTTTTTATGTTATTAAAAGTAGAATACATTTGGACATATCAATAGCTACTTTGCATACAGATCATTTTTCTTTTTACAAATTGAAGGATTTGTTCTGCTTGATTTATCCTACAGAAATAAGTCACAATTCTACGTAGAACTCTTATAAAAACCCTTGAAGATTCTATTACAACTACACTTTCTTCAAGTAGATTTTTAAACTTTAAATAAATTTTAGAATATCTCCAAGATTATAGGTGTTGTTCCCCATCAATATAAAAATGGAATAAGTGACTAGAGCTCCAGAATGGTATAATTTGTTTCATTTTTATGATTACCAACAAATAAAAATGCAATTTTATTCTTTTTGGTGAGATACAAATAATAGTGGGAAATTGATGAGTTTTCCTTTTACAATCTTATTCCTTGTTCTTTCACAACAGATCTACAGTATTTCAAGGTTTTGTATAAAACATCAAGAAGATACCAAAACAGCAGACTGATTCAAGCTATTTTTGAAACCCAGCCAATGACAGATGACTTGCAACATTTTGTGTGCCATAAAAAATGTAATTATAACATTCTTCAGCTCTAAGTTGCACAGGATTTGGTTTGGTTTAAGGCATATCAACCTCAATTGGTTATTTAATGCTGACAAGATTTTTATTGCTGGTAATAAATTTTATCAAAAATGTATTACTAGTAATATTTTTTTTTTTTTCAAAAAAAAGTATTTCTGGCAACAATGCACTGCTGAGATTAATTTTTTTCCTTCAAAAATTCACCACTAGCAACAATTTTTAACAAAAAAATATCACTGGTAATAAAACCAACCCCTACTTTGGGCGGGGTGTCAACCACTTGCCCTTAGCCAGGACCCCAACAAGTGCCACCACCCAGGACGGACCTGGGAACACCAGCAACCAAGAGGCCATCCCACCGCCATACTCCTCCACCTCTGATCAAAAGTCCCGATCATCTTACCCAGGACACGGATGTAGTTTGTCATCATACCCAGGACAAAGTTGCACATTAAATCACACAATGTGTCAACAGCCTACTATGATGGATGGCACCCACTTAAGCCTTTAAACTATATTGATATATATTTTCCTTCTCTTAAGAAAAAACTTTATATTCCTTTTTTGTAATGTAATTGAATTACCATGAAAAATATTTCATCTTCATCTGACAATTACTTTAGATCTATTTTTAATTGTAAGACTTTAAATATTGCTCAATTTGATTTTTATGGCTTATCAACCCATTGTAGGTTATTTAAAGCCAAAACAAATTTTGGATTGTAATTTTTTTTTTTTTTTGTGAGTGAATATTGCATTGACAATTTTTTGATAACAATGACTTTTCAAGATAGAAATCCTATTTAACCCATAACTGGGGGAAGAAGAGATGGATTCATACTTTTCCCAAATGTATTTGCATGTAAGTGAATGTAACAAACCCAATTGGAATTCAAACTCAGCTCTCCAGTTTCTCTTTTGAAGCTGTTATCCATTTACATCACATGCACATCCACAAAAGTTTAAATATTTTACATTTTAAATTGGTAAATTTCAAAGATAACACAATGATTGATTCAATGCTGACAGATGTAAACATTGACATTAAACAGTGAAATTCTACATTAAAAATCAATAAACATTTTTTTTATCCTATTTTCAAACAGAATGCCCCAAAAAGTTTATTCACAAGTATATAGTTATAGATACCATTAGATGGATCCAATTCAATAGTTTATTAAAGGAAATGAAATAAAGTAAATCCTTTTGTTTTTGTTATATTAATGAACAAGTTTAATTATAAAGCATTTAAATTATTAAATCTAACTTTTTCTTTCATTTCATAGAATATATCATTTTATCTTTTACTAAATATTCATATAATGCAATAAGTATCAACATATAGTACATGAATTAGGACAGTTAAAATAATATTTAATTTGATGATAAAAAAAAAATAAACAAACAATACTTCACTTACCTTGTTCTTTCTGACTGGTACTTTTTAAGGGACAGTTAGTAAAAACAAACTGAAAAGAAAAAAAAAAAAAAAAAATGTCATTTCTTTTGATAAACACTACCAACGAAAAAAAAAGTAATAAATTTTACTAAACTAGCAAAGTATCTCTCGAGAAAGTGATTTGTAAGTCAATAATAAACACATATTGACCAATAATTTGGTTTCAGAAACAGCATATATGCTGCATTAATATGCTATGAAAACAATTGAATCTGATAGAACCAAATTAGGATCAATTGATTAACGATGATATTAAGGACACAGCATCCAAAATTTATGCAAATCTTTAAGCAGCTCAATAAGAAAATTGTTTAAAATATTTTCATCAATAAATGCATTGTCATAAAGTCAAAATCAGACAATATTCATATCTGTAGAGGGTGCAACAGAATTATCTTTTACCTATATCTCCCATATCATGGTAAGACATTAGCTAAATGAAGACACCACTGCCACTAATGTCTTACAATTATGTGGGAGGTATTTCTGCTGAACCCTGTATAACTAAAAGATAAATCTTTATTTTGATTATTTCATTAACAATATGTTGGCTGACAAATTTATTACACATCCAAAAATGATAAAGCTTTAGCAACTAAATAGTCAATTTATTATAACTTACCTCCACAATCCAATTTCTTGTTGGACGTACTTGTATCCTAAACTTGCAAGTCAGTAGATTATTCTTGAGAGTTTGCATATTGCTCGGACTGCAACCTTCACAATCGGGCAAACTGAAAGGAAAGAAAACACAATAATAATCAAAACATTTAAATCTAAGATTATTTTAGACATACATATATTCCACTAAATAAGAAAATTCTAATAAGGCACAAATGTTAAATTTCTAACAGTTAAATCTATTAAAGATTAAATTTTCAAATTTTCAAAAAACTCAAAATAGCAAAGAGAACCTACAGACACTACTTAAATAGACTGGTCCACTCATGAAAAATAGAGAAAATTTTTAAAGGGAAATAAGCCCTTAGCCCTTTCACTAATGAAAACAGGCTTTTTTTTAAAGGGATTACAAAAAGATTTTTTTTAAAAAAGCAGTTATATATACTTTTAATTAAAGAGCAAAAATTTACTTAAATTAATAAAACCTTTTAAAAAAAAGTTAAAACTTAGCATAAGTTCAATAACTCTTCAAAATCAGGGATCAATTTGATACTGTACAATATTATAAACAGGATCCCCTTTTCTAAAATGATAGCAAAACAATATTTTTCAGTTTAAGTGTTACAGCCTAAAGGAAGGTCTTCTCAGCCTGTGAAGGTCCTTTTCAGGGTACAGACCTTCTCCAAATTCACCACACTGGCTCAATGCATATTGATAGGCGAGGATGTGACACACTTGGGCATTCATATTTCTCTTCAATTCGTGATCACCCAAGTATATTTGTGAATAAGCGGATGTAAAGAACCAGACAAGAATTCAAACTTCAATTTTCTTCAAATTCTACTCTTGACTCATCTGGAGTATCTTTACTTGATTTTCTACTTAAAACGGAGTCTCTATTTGGGTGAAAACGGAGTCTCTATTTGGGTGAAAACGGAGTCTCTATTTGGGTGAAAACGGAGTCTCTATTTGGGTGAAAACGGAGTCTCTATTTGGGTGAAAACGGAGTCTCTATTTGGGTGAAAACGGAGTCTCTATTTGGGTGAAAACGTCTCTATTTGGGTGAAAAACGGAGTCTCTATTTGGGTGAAAACGAGTCTCTATTTGGGTGAAAACGGAGTCTCTATTTGGGTGAAAACGGAGTCTCTATTTGGGTGAAAACGGAGTCTCTATTTGGGTGCATATAACTCCATCCATGGTTTCTTCTATCATCTCTAAACTGGATCCTCACAAAGTATATAAACTTAAGTAGTCACCCATCTAGGTACTGACCAGATTCAACATTGCTTAGCTTCATTGATCAGACAAGAATGGTCTATTTAAGTAGATATATCTACATATTTAAGATGTACCTACATATTACATCCACTATTATGACAGATTGCGATGTGCCTTAAAGTTGGCCAAATATAACTACTAATAATATTGAATTTGTTACATGTGGAAGCAATCTGGTTTTGACAAATTACAAAAATACTTAAAACCAGTGAAATTTTTTCTTCTTTTTGAGAGATAAAGAAAGTGGAGAAGGTAACAGGAATAAACTACATTATCCTTTTCCAGCATCCATCGTAACAAAGAGTTTGCAAATATTAAAGAAAAGAAAGCCATGAAGAGCCATAATCATCTATAACTTAAAGGGACATGGTGTTTAAAGAGAAGCTGATGAAAGATTTGGATATTAATAGCAGATTTTGATAATATTTGAATAATGAATCATTCCATTAATTTTTCATCCTTAATGGCGATTAATTTGAATAATAAATTATACTAATAGTTACAATAAAAAAACAATTGTAATAGCAAAATGATAAATTTCTTCCCAAAGTGAAAATCTTAAAAGTCATTAATCAGTAAAGCAATAATGAAAATATTACTAACTCCATGATATTCAGAGTCATGCAGCTGCCTTCTCCATCTACCTGGACACCTTGATGGGAAATACCATGTTTGGTAAGCTGAAATAGAGAAAAAAACAAAGAGGTTTTTTGGGGTTTTTTTTTTTTTTTTTTTTAAAAACAAACATGAACAAAAATAAAGATTTTAAAAAATAAACACAAAATAAATGATTAAAAAATAAATACAAAATTTGGAAAAAAAAAAGAATTTATAAAGATAAAACAAAAAATACAATTTTTTTTAAATAAACATACATGTGAACATAATTTCAGCAAGAAGAAAAAATAATTCTTACTTCTTCTGTAAGTGCAACAAATGGAAGTTTTTCTTCACAATGAGCCAACAGGAATGCTAAAGGAGATACAAAATATGGAGACTCCTTTCTGATTTTTGGTGGACTTCCTTCTTGATCACCTAATAACAGCTAAAAATATTAAAAAGCAAGAAATGTAAAGATTAGAGATCTAAACTAATTCTCTCCAACAATTTATGACAAATTTAAATAAATTAAAGCTGGAATATCAGAAAAAAAAATGTTATTTAAAAAAAAAAGGTCAAAATCTAATCAGAGATAAAACAAATGAACCAAATTTTGACAAGAATTTATAAGTGTTAAAAAAAAATGTGTGTGTATATATATATATATATATATATATATATATATATATATATATATATATATATATATATATAGAATAATAAAAGAACAAATAGAAAGCATTTATAAATTGAACATTTCCCTTTTTATCTAAGCTTCATCAGAAAATGAAATATGGAGGAGAAAAGAAATCGGATTTTTTTTTATTTTTGTGTTGTTTTTCAACCAAATCCTGCATAGACCAACTAAAATTGCCATATACAAGCACAGAAAAAAATATTAAACATGAATGCTGTGTGGCTGGACAAATAGATGTGAGGTATGCTTAACCAATGAAAAACAAACAACATAAAAATAAATATCTCCTACTTTATTCTGCTAACCCCACAAACAAACTTTAGGCTGGGCTAAAACTAAAAATTTGCTAATAAAAAAAAGATAAAATTTAAAAAGGGGGGGGGGGCAAAATTGGACCTTAGTGCTCAAGTTTGCCAAAAAATGATTTTAATAAAATTCAGATAGTGATTATTTTGGAATGAAAAGAAAAAATTAGTGAACTAGAACAAAAAATGACATATGTCATAATTTCTGTTTCTTAGAACTGCAAATTTTAATTTTTAATTATCTACTGCACAACAAACATAACCTTATTTTCAGTTCAACAACAATTCCTTAAAAACTTAAATGGTAATATTCAAATACATAAAAAGAAGATTAGCATTTATTAGATTTAAAATCATGGTTCACCAGAGATTCCTATTCATTATTATCTGTGAATTGCTATGCATTCTTGAGAATTATAGTGAAGTGATTTCCTGTTGCCTTCTCCAAAGAAGTTTTTAGAATTCAGAGTTTTCCTCCTCTTAGACTGGTTGCCACTCAAGGCTACAGAGTCCAGTCTGCCCACAGCTGAGTGGCAAAGACAGATTCATACCATTCCCAAAGGTGAACATTGGCCAGAAGTCAAACTCAGCTTGCTAATCCACAGCAATGACTACTAGGCTACACACACACAAATTTATTATATACATATTTTATAAAAAACCTGAAAATAAATAAAAGCATACCTTTCGCTTTCTAGATAAGCTGTCCAATTCAGTTTCATCTGTTTCAGCTGAAGTAGAAACAAAATATTTAGCCATAACAGAAGACATTCCCTTCTTATTCAATTTCATATAAATTTTCAATAAAAATAAAATACTTTATTACAAGGAGGATAAGATAACATAAAAATGATTGAAATTTATTCAATCCCAAGATTGCCTGAGCAAATATTCTTCATTTAACAAGTATAAAAAAAAAGGTATTTGAAAAATTCTTAGCCTTAATATTGAAGTTCAGCTTAATGAGATGGTGCTGAAAAATTCTCATCTCAAACAAGAAAGGATTCAAAATCTGATGTTTGGGCATTTGATCAGGTTTTGGGAAGTGGGTTGGGTCAACAACTTTTCAGCATCCCCTCATAATAACCAAAAATAATCACAACAAATGTTACTAAATGAGAGAATCCTAAAACTGATATAGGCATATAAATAAATACTTACAAAAGACAGTTGCATAGGGACCATGTGTGAGAGAGAAGATATTTATTGGTGTCAAATGTTTAGCTCTAAGGAATGGTTTTACAGGGCTAGTGTCTTCCACGAGAGTGTTGTCACTCGTCTCTGCACTGGCAGCAACCATTTCAAGCAGGTAATATTTATATACAAAGGATTTAGGAGGCATATCATCAACTTCAACAATCTAAAAAAAAAAAAATTGAAAAATAAAAAAAAAATAATTTTCAAATTTATAAAAAAAGAAAAAAAAAAGGAAATTATATTCCTAACAAAAAATATTTGCTGAAATTTATTTAACATTTAACCAATGGTAAACCAATTTATAGTTAAGCATCATCAAATACATTGGTTGCATTTATGAGAAACTAATTCAAAGAGATGAAGAATTAAAAATTTCTAAAGCTTTTATTGCTTATAGTTTAACAATACAACAAAGATTGCTGGGTAAACTAACAAATTCAATTTCATGAAAAGATAAAAATAAATAAAAAAAATCACTCAAAGGTGGGTGTGTATTTTAATGTCTATCAAGAATTAGATTTGAAACACACAAACACACGTGTGTGTGTGCGTGCACACATATAAAGAATAATCAACCTAATAACAACAAAAAGTGCTGAAATTATTTTTTTAACTTAATATAAAAAAAATGAAAATGAGAAAATTGGCAGTCAATTGCTAGTAACTCTTGACAAGTTGACCAAACAATCACAAAGAGGTTCATCTATGAAACTCTCTCGAGTGCTGAATACAACATCAGTTAAGTAACAAATTTTATATTTGCATTCACCCTATATATATATATATATATATATATATATATATATATATATATATATATATATATATATATATCTCAAAGTACTTCTCTTATTTACAAATGAAAATTGCCAAGACTTCTTGGGAAAGGTAGTGGAGAGGTTTCCCAAGGACATTGGTGCAAAAGTGGATGCAACAAAATAAGCAAGAATTCAAACTCCACTTCCCATACTGATAACCTAACCACATATCCATTTGCATATCTATTGTTTCAATATGAGAGTTGGTAGAAATGTTAGTTTCAAATCATTATGTGACACTGTGATGGTGAAGTGGTTAAACATTAATTCTAAGCAGGAAAAGAAAAGGGTTATTAAAGACCAAAAACGAAACATAAGGCTGAAAGTTACAGACAGACAGAGAGAGAGAGAGTGGAGACATTTTCCTTGATGAGAATGGAACGTCTGGATTTCTTTTCCCCTAAAGTTTATTTTTCTTATCTAGCGAGAGTCTGATATGCAGACAAAAACAGATTTAGGGAACAATTTTATTTCCTTGGAAAATTAGGAAAAACACATGTCACAAATGAACAAAAAAGAAAATGAGAATTATAAAGACTGGGCTGGTCACTGTCTTTGCCGAGACAGTGACCAGCCCAGGGATGGAAAACAGAGAATCTCTTTGTTGAAATTTAGGTAAACAAATATATTTTCATTGACGAGAACAAATTTGGGAAATAAGTTTATCTCTTTCTGGAAAAATTAGAAAGAAAACATTAACAGAAAGAGAAGCATATGAGAATCCTATTTTTCATTGATGAAAATGCAAACAAGGAACAATCTCTTTCTTAGGGTTGAGGTTATGAAGATCAATCATGTCATGACGGTGTTCTGGTTTGTGTGAAAGGAGTCAGAGAATTAAAATTAATGAGGAGAATAAATCACGCCCTTTCTCCTACGCATTTGAAAAATTACTTTTTTTACAAAGACAGTTGTGCACCCTGAGAAGTGGGCAGAGCTAAAATACTGAGAAGGAAGGAGGAAGGGGAAGAGTTTAGCCCCGCCCGTGCAGAGTAGCAGTGACAGATGTAAAGTGAAGCTGGTTAGAGTCAAAGAGAAAAGCAATATCTGACAGTGGATAATTTTCAAAATTTGGGGAGTTGATTAAGAAAGCAGAGCTAGGGAACAAAGCCCTTATTAGAATTAATGAGAAAATCAAAGAATCAACAAATCCCAAGAAACCCTTTCACCCCCACATATGCCAGTTTGGGGCCAAAGTACATATAAGCAAATGACTTTGGGGAACTCATAATACTTTGGGCTGAAAAGCTGCATAGTGCTTGTGGAATCCATGTCAGCTGCCACCAGAATTCCCGATTCCAAGACTTCCAGAAGTTTTGACAAAGCCCAATGTCACTAGAGAGATTGATATGGGAAGGGTTAATTTTTGTTGTACCAAGAGCTATATAAACTAATTGAAGCTTAACCCCACAAATCTTAATTTATTTTTTTTGTTGTAAAGATATTTTTTCCTTAATATAGCACCCGCCACGGCTTGACCAGCGCTGCAAGACTACAACAACATTCGATCTTCTACAGCTCCAAGATCAAGAACACATGGGCAGAGACGATATGGATCAAAGTAGCCAGCGGTCAACAGCCAGTTTGAACCAGCATCAGCATTGACCAGTGCAGAGTTTGCCTGTGATTAAAGCATCATCCTAAGACCCTGATGACCAGACCACTAAGCGTAGTTAAACTACTATGTGTAGGTGGTGGCAAAAGGCATTACATTATTTGGTGCCAGTGACCAAGGATATGACCCTGTTGCAAAAGGGTGTTACAATTATTTTTAAATACTATGAAGCGAGAGAAGCTTGGTTAATTTAATGACATTTATAGTTATAACATTGACTAAATCTTTGAGATAATATCCATATTCAAAATTTTAACTTATAGGTTACTTACTACAGCAAAATTTGTTTGCTTTGGGACTCTGACAAACAGCTTATATTTGGATAGATTTTCAAGAGGGTTGCCACTGAGGTTGATGAAGGGTAGTTGGCGATGGCTGCTAGCAGGCAGTTGTTGTACAGACTTTTCACATCGTAGCAAGGCAAGTTCACACCTTTTGCAAAAAAATATATAAACAAAAATGTACTAGAAATAGAGATTTTATGGAATGATTAAAAACAATTTCCAGTATATAAAATACATTGAAAAGGCCATTTTAGAGAAATTTTATAGATATTGTGAATGGATACTTAACACTGGCCATATCTTTAGAAATCTGTTCAATTGAGAGATTAACAAATATTCTTACCTGAGTTTAGCTATTTGTTTATCAATGTTTCTTTTGTCTCCATTTAAATTTTCTTCAATTTCCTGTATTACAGGATGATCTGAAATGCAAACAGAAAATCTTACATTAATTATCCATATTTAGGGACATCTCATCTAGTTCTTATTTTTAGTACTGCTCAGTTATTGCTTGCCCTGTTTCCAGAGAGTCAAAGTACACACTGCCCAGACCAGGAATTGAACTCACAATTACTATGTTGCCAAATTCACAAAACAATGAAAATATGATAGGGAAGCTGCTAATAAAGAAAAATGACTGCATGTCTTCAGTAGCTGCAACAAAAGAGAAAAGCTTCAGTTGCATGCAGTCAAGCATGACAGACAGAGGCACTCACCAGTAGCCAAGTTAGGTTTAAGGGTTCAAGTTCTCCACAAAGAATTGTCCTATGGGACAATAGCCTAGTGGATTAAAGTGTTGGTCTATGAATTACTTGTTACAAAAACCACAGCCTTGCTACCTAAAGTAGTGAAGCTGTGACCCTATACAACACAGGGGTGGGGGAGTCTACAAGGTTAACATACATCCTCACAGCAGCTGAAGAGTTGGTGAGTGGTGACATTTTCCATATTTTCCATGTTAAAAACAATGAATGGAGAATTGTTATGTTCTATGATACTATCAATGTCTTAATTCTTCTTCCTCTTCTACAGTATTACTGCTAACATATTGAAGGCAATGAATTAACCTTTCTTTTACACAAAAGAGATCATTAGAAACAAAAGTAAACAGATGTGTGTTGTTTCCGATACACCCTAGGGCTAGATCAACCCTCTCATGTACAAGTTATTATGAAACTAAAGAAAGGAAGTTTGTTATTATCCTCTTTCTACATGATAAACTGTAGAGATACAACAGGAGATTTGCAAATCTGCCTGGTGGGGACAGTCAAAGCATAAACATCCCATCTAAGCCAGGTCAAAGGTTTCAACAGAGGTCAATACAAGGTAAGATCTTCAAAAAACAAAGAAAAAAAAATGTAGAAATCATAGGAGAAAGTATAAACTTTATAGCTTGGCCTTCATCTTGCCAATATAAAATATAATTACTGTAGTTACTACAGTTTCACTCTGGAAACTGGGATCTTTAAGACTAAGTTTTTATATATATATATATATATATATATATATATATATATATTAAATGATACACAAAACTCTCCTCTTTAAACACTTTGTATTTTTTCTTTGTCTTAATGAAGCCAGGTATAGACTTTATTCTGGTGTCATATTAGCCAATAGATATATATTGACATATAAACATCTCAAAGTTATTCTGATCTTCTATTTAATAGTTGAATGGTGTTTGGAAGCATCAAAATTTCCTTTCCTAACACAATCTACAAATTTCTATTCTTCCTATGTAGCTTTAACTATTTTCATCAGGTTCCACTTTATATTCAAACTCAGATTGTTCTTCTCTTTAACTTCCCAAATGTATTTAGAGAGGGCAATACATTTGTAATACTTATCCTATTTATTATCAAGCACTGTTACTTTTTACTGCCAATTTTGAAAAACAGTATTAACTAGTTACATTTATAACTATATATCACCCTCTACTGAACATGTGTTGTCCACACACAAAACATATCTCCATTGGTATTCATTTCCAAGAGGACTTGAGCAATTTTTTCCATGGTATTGCTGTTAAACCCACTTTAAAATGACTGTCACATTCATTAGTGATGCAGATGCACTGAAAATTCCCCTTCATATAGATGCTGATACGAGTTATAAGACAAGGGACATTATTCTGTTTAAGCTAAGCAAAGCTTCTTTTATTAATAACTTATTAAAAAGGTTGACTCCCATCAAAGCTCACCACATTAGTGATAACAAGATGGGTGTCATAGTAACAACTGCAACACAGAGTTCATTTGTCCAAAGAAATCTTGTAATCTTAATGACTCAAATTGACAGTTAGGTCTCAATTTCACTGTTAAAATAGCTATATGTAATTCTAAATTCTATACTAATAGTTACTTCTCCAAATGTCTCACTTATGGAACTCTCTTCCAATTTCTTACTTTTCTGTCAACTATAATCTTTAAAAATTTAAATGCAATGTTGTCATCTTCTGTTTCTTTCATTCTCATCTTAGTGGGTTTTATCACCTTGCCTGGGATGAAATGATTTTTAAAAAAAATAAATAAATAAAATAAAAATATTCTGAACATATTCAATGATGCTAAAATGTAAAAGACAGACAAACCTTAAGAGTGAAAGATAAGGAGACAAGGCTGTGATGACTTACCGGAACATGGCACTGATGTAAGAAAAGTTCCTCTCTGGATGTCCACAGCTACACGCAGAATCTCAGCAGATGTGTATGGATTCAACACTGGAACATGAAGCACTGCAGGAACATCTTTTATTTCACCTGTAGAAGAAAAAGATGTGAACTTTTAAAAACATTGCAAACAAATTCCAGTAGATAATGGGATGCTGAAAAGTTATTGGCCTGACTCACTTCCCTAAATCAGTATTCCAATGATCAAACATCTGAATATCAATTTTGAGAATTGGGTCAAACCAAGAGCTTTTCAGCACCCCACAACAAGTACAAATTAGTAGAATTATAAAAAAAAAAAAAAAAAAAGACAAGTACCAATTTTCGAATAACAAACATTAAGTGAACAAATATTTGTTTATTTTACTATAATGTACTAACATTTATAATAGAGTGCAAATAAATCCTACGATAAAAAAGTCAAAATGTACATACATTGCAGTTTGTGTTAGTAATTTAAATAAGTACTTTATTTAAGTGAAATTAAACTGGTGTTACTAACATAACTAGTATTGAATATAATGGTAAGAAAATACAACCAGATATCAGGAAAAAAGAAAAGAAAAAATGATCATAACTTGAAATCTCTTTTTTCCCTGAGAACAAATCAATTATTGCAGTTAAACATCTGGTTATATTACAGTTTTTACATGGAAAAATAAATGACTTTAAAATGGTACAGAACATTTATTTAAATAGATTAACATGTACATAATATGGTGGGTGGCAACAGTAACTTGAGATATAGTCAAAAAAAAAAAAAAAAAAAAAACAATATATATTTACTAAAGCCTAAAAATGTTTGAAAAAAAAAAAAAAAAAAAAATGCCCTAGCAACATAATGAAAATTTGGAAAGAGGTTTTTTTTAAGTATAAACAAATTTAGATAATTATGTAATAATCCATTTTTTAAAAAAATATGCAGTAGACAGAATAATACTTACAGGTACCATCAACATATTTCTGGAGGTCCTTGGCAAGTTCCTGAAACAAAAATATACAGGAAATTTTTATCATACAAGCAGTTAATGAAAATGAAATTGGAATAAATAAAAATTACTCAAGAGATGAAATTAGTTATGCAGATGATTTGTTTCCTTATTCTCCAAAACGGATCATGAAAGCAAAAACAGAATTTTAAAAGACTAAAAATTATTTAAAACTTAATAAGTTATTCTAGTTAAAATGTAAAACAAAATTAAAACAAATCTTGTAAAAATTTCCTTATTTCATCAAAAAATGCTGTTTTCTTAAGACAATAGCGCCCTTTATATATTTTATTTATAAAAGCAATTAAAAGCTTTTCTAATTAAATAATGTCTTAGTTTTATTGAATGTTTTATTTTACAATTCAGAGATTTTCACTAAATGAGTAACTGTTTGGAAAAAAATAATATTAATGATTTATATTCACCAAGGACTGGTGCTTTTAACTAATATAAATATGAAGAGGGGAAAATTTAATTTCTGGAAATTTCATTAAGTGGGAGGGGGGAGTAACAGATGTAAAAATAATATTTCTACTAAGATTTTCTATTAAAAAAAAAAAAAGTGTATAAAATACTTTACTTCATTTCTAAATAAGTCCTAAAAGTTTTATTAAAGTCCGACAATTATTTCATTTTTGCAAAAATACCCAAATCAATGTGTTTTTACTCCAAAAAAGCCACTAAAATTTCCAATTCTAATTATTTGCTGCCTCCACTGATGCAAGAAAAACAAGATTTTTAAGCAAAATTTTAGAAAAGATTAAAATGTTTTATAAAATAATAAAAAAATATTTTTATCTTTCCTCTTAATAATAACAAACATTTTGACACTAAATCTTTGTTTTTATAAAGTTTGGGGCCTTTTTCATCATGCTATACTCTTTTGTTATTGGAGGTACCTATTATAAAGTATTTAACAGGATGCAGCTGAAGAAGAGAGAATAAGTTTTTCAGGAATATATTTTTCTTTTGATGAAGTGTGTAATTCAAGACTTACTTTTAATCTTGCATGTGTGCGCACTTCAATGGTCTGGATAAGGAGTTTCTCAATAGACAGATGATCATTCTGAAAGATAAGTATCAAACATCCATCTAATATCTACATAATACACAATGCAAATTTTTTTTTGTCTAACTTTTGGCAACAAAAAAAAACAAAAAACAGATATAAAAATTAACAAATGATTCCTGGCCTAATTTGAACATCCCACCTGTGGGTAACCAAGCAGCAAATATATCCACTATATCAACATTCTTTGGCTTCAGCAGCATAGTAAAATTAAAATGCAAATACAATTTAGGCAAAGCACAGATACTATACTAGGCAGAAAGGCTGATCCAAATATAAATATTCATTTTTAACAGGTATTATATATGGTGCAGCAGAAATACCTCCCACATAAGGTTAAGACATTAGCTCGATGAAGACACCATTGGCACTATTTTACCATTATGTGGGAGGTATTTGTGGACATTACTTCTGCACTAGCCTGTATTTCTATATTTAAACACTCTCAGGTGAAAGACTTCAAATATTAGCAATTTTTTTTTATAATCCTCCCCTTGTGAAAAAAGATAAAAATAAGAACAAGGCAGTTTAATAAAGTTAATTTCCTCATAAATTATATTTCAGCGAACTCTTTAGCATTCAACACACTCAAATCCACCCCCATAAATATCGGCTCTCAAAGTCTCACTGTTTGCATGACTTCCTGAGTTATTTGCAATGATGCCGTCATATATTACAGCAGAGTATACATGGGGAGGATTGAACACCGATATTTACGGGGCAGATTTAGATGGGTTGAATGCTAAAGGATTAGCACATATATAACATATAGGTTAATCTTATGGATGTAGCCACAAAATATGCAAGTATGATTAAATGTAATGAAAACTAAGAGCTAATTTGTATAATAATATAAATTAAAAACGATCACATCATGAATGGTAAAAATTAATGCAATTAAAATATACTGTGTAGACTTAATCACAATATCAGTAAAATATGGCCAAAATGAATCCTTTTTTATAATATATCATAAAATTATAGAAAATTCTTCAGCTAAATTTTTAAATTTTCTCTTCCATTTCTATTAATACAAAAATGGTTACAAAAAATATAAAAAAAAAGAAGAAAACATGTATTTATCACCATGTAATTCCAATCAAATCTAAACTGATGTTTGTTTTGTTTTTTTTAATTTCCGACGAAATCATCCACTATTTAGAACAATGAATATAAATAAAATACTGATAAGAAACAAGATGAAAGACTTACTCTGATAGCCAGTCCCACTTTACGACTTTCTTCAGCAGTCATGACAGGAGTATGACTGATCTGCAACGGCTTCCCCTCATCATCCTCAGACACATGGACACTTAATTTGTACACTGAAATATAAAATAGACCACATATTAGTAGTGTTCCTAAAATAAAACAGAGTATAAAAGCAATGAATACAAAATACTTTTCTGGTAAGGGAATATTAAAACCAAGTAATTTATGTAACCTCTCTCTCTCTCTTAATATTTAATACTAATAAAGCAGTGCTTAATGTAATGCCATCTTCTAAAATGCCTTCAGGAATACATTATTAGTAAAGCTATTTTTAATCTTAATAAAAATAGCTGACAATTAAAACTACAAATGATTTTGATTTAATGATTTTAACAGCATATCAACTCTTTGTGGATCATTTGATGCCAAAATTTAATTTTTTGGAGAGCTTTGAATTAATAAATATATTTTAATCTGTTTTCACAATAGAATACATGGTAGATGATAATCATCTTTTGGGCATATACATGTGTGTGTAGACATAATTACTAGAGACAGTGATATGTGTGTGTTATGTGGTAGCTGAAGTTTTATTCTGGAATACAGTTTGATTTCTTTAAGAAATTGTAGGATATAGATTAATGTCATGAAAGTATTTTCATGTTGGTTGTTTAGTTGGTTGATTTTGTTTAGAGGCATATCAACACCTCTGAAGGTTATTTAATGCCGAATATTTTGAACACAATTTTATGGCTTCAACTAAATATATACTATAAATAGATATTGTTGGTAATTTCTTTTTATATAAGAATAAATATATATATTCATATATTTTTGTATTGCTGGTATTTTTATGGTTTGTTATAGCATTTTGTTTTTGTTTAGGTGTTCACGATTTGCCCATAGCTGGGAGCCTAACAAATGCTACCACCCCAGGTCAGGGTGAACCAGGAAACAACTGCAATTAAGATGTTCCACACTCCTCAAAACCTACAATCTCCCGATCAGAGGCCTTGCTGCCAGATGTAGTTTATTGTCATACTCAATTGATTTTAAAAGATTAAAGTAATTTTGAAAAACACATTTAGATATGTGATATTAAGTTTAATTCTGTTATTTCATTAATCATATTATTATTATTAATGTTTTTTTGTTTTTTTTTTTCAACCAATTCACCCCAAGCAAGGCGCGAGTGCCATTAGCACACAAGGGGTTACAGAGGATTGAGAACAAGAGTAAAGAGGCGTGTTTAAGGAAAGGATACAGAGAAGGACGGGGGAACAAGATCAAGGTATCAGATGTCGACTGACATTACACTTGAATATTTGAAGATTATACTCATCAGGAAAACAAGCAAGAGAAAGGGAGTTCCACAGATGGGAAATGCAAAAGAAGCTGTTTGAATAGAAGAAACGGTTACATTTAACCGTTTCAACAGTGAAAGGGTGGGACCAAGATGCCAGCCTATTAGCTCGCTTAAATTCATGCAGTCTGGGTACCAGCAAAAGTAGCTTGTCAGAATAGTTGCTGTGAAAATACTTGTAGAAGAGACAGAGGAAAGCCACAGCACGTCTGTGACAAAGTGACTGTGTGTATGTTAAATGTTCGTTGGATCATTATTTTTTACTATTTTTAATGTGTTAAAAGCAATCTCTTGGATAAAATTTATAGACTACACTTCATGCTAAATCTAGTGAAAATCAGTTTAATTTTTTTTTTTCAAATAATGAAAAAAAAAAAAAAAAAAAAAAAATTATATGATAAACCAGGTATTATATCCCTGACAAAGAAAAAAAAATCTAACTACTTTGTTTTGTAATACAATTTTAAAGTGAAAATATTTACATAGTAACCAACAAGAAACTAATGCAAGGCTTCTTTAAAATATATAATTTACTTTTTTAATTATTTCCCCTCAAGCAAGGGAGGAATGCCACTAGTACATAGGGGGTTACAGAGAATGAACATGTGAGAAAAGACTGGGTATAGGGAGAATCGAGGAAAGGATAAAAGCTGAATGGAGTTCAAGTAGCTAGATGACAATGATTGATGTTGCATTTAAATTTTTGAAGATTGTAGTTTTCAGAGAAGCAAGGAAATGGAAGGTAGTTCCACAGGTGGGAAGTGCAAAAAAGAAACTGTTTGAGTAGAAGCTGTTACATTTACCTAATTCAACAGTGAAAGGGTGGGACTTAGATGACAATCTAGTAGCAGGCTTAAACTCACATAGTCCCTACATCAGGGAAAAAAAAAGCTCATCAGAGCAGTAGCCATGAAAATATTTGTAGTAAAAGACAGAGGGAAGCTATGTCCCATTGGTGAGAAAGTGACTGATGTTGAGATGCCAAGTCAGGATCTGTTACATTGCAGATCCTTCTTTGGATCTTGGGTAAGTGGACAATATTATTTTATCTTTTTTGTACCAAAATAAAGATTAAATAAAAAAAAGACATTCTAAAGACTTTGTTCAAAGTGTGCAATTTTTCAGACATATGCAAATGTGGCCATACAAACACTTATTTCATATCTTTTAATTTTTTTTATATGCAGTTAGTTCACCTACTACAAGCCTCAGAGGCCACTCATGGTAAAGAGTTACCAAGTCAGACTGTTGCAATGGAGGGAGAAAGAGAGAGTAAAAAGTTCACATTATGAGGACATGATATGACATCAGTTGACATTGGACTTGAAGAAAGCAAGATTGTAGTTGTCAGGGAAGCATGCTCTCAGAAGTCTGTTCCACAAAATGACAGTTACAAGGAAGAAGCTATCTGAGTGGAACTTAATCCTTATCAAAGGAACACAAAGGGAGTAGGGGATGATTTGCCACCCAGAACATAGCATGGTGGGTCCTAGATACGGAGGTCTCAGCTGATGGAAGTAAAGAATGTAACTCATTTGAACATCTACTATAGTAATCGCGATAAAGTAATGAGAGGCTGGCAACATTTTGTCTGTGCAATAATGGTTGCAGGGTAGAAAATAGTTCATCACTCACAAGGCCACATAATTACTTTTGGTCTCTGTCAAAAGGTGTTCAAAGCAAGGAGCCTCTTTGGGGATATAACCACTCATCAAGATTGGTGTAAGTTTAGGGTCTTCTCAGTGGTGATAAAATGTTACATGTGTTATTTGCAAACAAACATACTCAGAAAAGAAAAAAGAAATTTAGAGAAAAAGAAAAAAAATCTGAAACATACCAGTACCATCTTTTTCTTTTTTCAGTTGATCCCTGTGAGAAAAAAAAAAAAATAAGGTAAGAAATCCAGGACAAACCAAGTTTGTCAACTTTCTTTTCATTTGACACAAAAATAAATAAATAAAAGTCAAATTGCAGATTAATTTCCATTAAAGAATTAAAAAGTAAGCATACCTCCAATAAGAGACAAATAGACATTTGCCAGCAGTGTATTCTTCCACTCGAACGCTATCTCCAAGCCGTTCTCGCACCAGACGTTGAATCTGAATGATAAAGAAAATATTTTTCAATTTGTTTCTTAAAAAAAAAAATTCAATGGATATCATAAATTGCCATCTTTCAATATTATCTCAAAAGATAAGATTTTAAAGATTCTTTGACATTATAGATTATGAAAAGTTGTATAATCACATCTAAGTTCTCCTTGTGTTGGAATTAAGCATAAAAAATATACATCTATCTTAGCAAGAAATATTCAAATGATAATTTTAGTACATTTAAATGTTAATGAAATCAAGGATTTCTTGATTGTTAAAAAATGGGACATTTATCCTTCTTTAAATTACTGAAATAAAAAAAAAAAAAAGGATATTTTCCGGATTCAAAACAAGAAGTTACATTTTCAACAATAAATGAGAATTCAAAAGAAAAAAAACAAAACACCACCTACCTGTGAATGTAGTACTTCAAGTTGCAGAGATAAGCAAAAAGAATCTACAGTCAAAGGTAAGGAAGATATTTGAATATTTTTAATAAAATTTTATGCAATAATTCAACAATGTATTTACTAAATGAGTGAATATACTTTTTTATATAAATGGTGTACTAAAATTAAACAATTTCTATCAGAAAAACTTTAAAGTAATAAAAAACATTTTTTTTTATTAATTTGCAAAATCTGTTTTTCATTTTCAGCTTATACTTTACTTTCCATCTGCTTCTATTTATATACTTTTTAATCATTTGCAAATTTAATTCAAGAATTGTTTAGGATTTGCTCTCCAGCATTTTACCTAAAACCTCTACTAGAAAACTGCAATGTGGCTGCTTTGTGGAACTGACTCCCAAGAGGACGCTTCCTCGGTCACTATAATCTTGACCTGTTCATCTAGGATCAACTGTTACCTTCCCCACAAACTGTGCCTCTTATGCTGTAACCCTCTACCTCGAGTGGCTCTTGTTTCCTGTACATTGTAAAAAAAAAATTTCCCAGCAAATATCTAATATTATCTGAGATATCCAGAAGAGGCATGACATGTGGAACTAGAACAGGTTACCCTGGTGGACAAAAAGGGTTCAGTTCAAAATTTCAATCACCTAAAGAAGTCCTAAGCACACAACAGCTGAAACATCATGAATATGGCAATAAAGATGAGGGCAATGTGAACAATATAAATAATTACAACACCTTATCTCAGAATTATAGAGACATGAATCAGAATCAATCTTACAAATGCTATCCTAATTAAAAAAAAAAAAAAAAAAAAAAAAAACATAACTCTTTACATTGAAAATACTTCAAGGGAACATTGATAAATACCATTTGTTAGCATCAAGGACACTTCTTTTTCCTAAAATAAGTCTAAAAAATTTGCTGTGCAACCTTGAGGATGAAGATCAGGGTTTTCGCAGGCCTATGCTAACCCCAGAGGAAGGTTATCGATGTTAGACAGTAAACTGCATTCCTGTATATAATTAAATTTATAAACTATACACCAAAGTATACATTATGGTAGTAAATAAAGTATCATAAAAAAATCAAAAATATGTACATACTAATGTAGGGCAGTCAAGAGACTAGTTGAATCAAGGAATTTAAATGCAGATAGCACCACTCAGTCTCAATGAATATTCTAGTTGGCAATTGCTGAGCTAAGCCATGTCACTTGTTACGATATGAATAAATAAATTCATTGCACAAAATATATTTAAATAATGAATGTATAACTGAAATGAACAAGTCAATGTTTCTCTAAAAGTAAAGATCGTAGAGGGCTTTTGAAGTTATTTGTAGTAATCATAAAAAATTCAGATATCAAGTAAGTAATAAAAGAAAAGAAACATTTAAAAAATGCATTATGGATTTAGTTAATCTCGATGCTAATCCAAAATTAGTGATCATCATGCAAGTTATATTAGTCTTTTGAATTGAAATTTTCTCAATATCGGGCTTGGTTCAGTAAATCATCCAACAAATTGATCCATCAAACAGACAGACATACTCAAAATATTGAAACAATATGGAGTGTTATGAAGTGCTTTAAAAGTAAACATTTTTTATAAACAAAATAAATAAATAAATAAATAAAATAAAAGATTATTCAAATTAATTTATTTATAGAAAAGAAAATTTTGAATTAAATTTACCAAATATTTTTATAAAATTTATTGAATTTCTCTTAAATAATTTTATTTAAAAAATTTTTTTTATAAAATGTTTCATGAGATATCAAAATAAAGATTTTATGTTTCCTTGAAAATATTTTTAAAGAATTTATATAATTTTATTTTATTTTTTATTGTTTTACATTTAAGTCAAGCATTATTTTTAATTTCTGTATATTCCATTCTAAGGTAAACAAGGATAAATTTTTTTCCCCTCTAGACATATAAGAGATCATCAGTTGATATTTCAGTAAATGGAAAAATACTTCTAGAAAGAACAATGAATTATGGAACTGAAGGATCATTGTGTTTGATGCAGCTCTATCCGGGCTACCTATCCCATTCAATATTTTATACATCTAAGAGAAAGTAAAGTGTCTAAATTGTAAGGGTAAAATGAGAAATCAATTTCACAGTGTGGTCAAGATGATTGAAATGTTGATAAACCCTGACAAAACATCTAAGTAAGGGAAGGTAAAGGTTCAAGACCCTATTTTCATGTTTACTCATTTTTCTCAAAAATTTGCACTTTAAACTTGGGGAGTGTCCTTGATGTCAGCAAATATGGCATGTTACCAACTATAAACATGTCAAAAATATATTACATCACCAACTTTTATTAAATCCATTCTTAAAGAATTTAATGTATGTTACTCTACCACAAGTGGTGTTTACATAAAAACATTCCCAAATCAAGATGCGGACAACTACCAAACATAAATAATGCCTGTTAGACACATACTTACACATATACATTATCATTTGATTCCCACATTGAGAAACTAGATTTATGATATACTTACATACATAAAGAAATATTTATGTATTTTCAGTTAGGATTAAAATCCATTAATTTTTTAGAGCTTTGAAAGGACATGTCATCTCTCTTTGACTTCAGAATACTATAACTTATACTAATGCTGCTTAACAAATCAAATGTATGTGAAGCCTAATTAACCAATAAGGCAAAAATAATAACACCAAATTTCTTTTTTCTCCATACCTCATTCTCTGATGAAGATTGATGACATTTCATATTTGTTCTTTATATCAAAGTCAGATATCAAAATATAAGTTTGCTTACAAGAAATGTATCTAATGCAATAAATGCCACTGAATATTTACAATTCTGCAAGGAAAGTGGTGAAGAAGTAGAATCAAAGCAATAAAGGATACGAAGCATTCGATAAAGATCATGGAGGGGTTTCTCATTATCTAGTAGCCGAGACTGGACCAATCTGTGAATATAATTTACCTAAAAAGAGGGAGAAAAAAAAAAAAAAATGAAAATTATGATAAAAGATATAATTAGTAATATTGCTCAGAATGTAAATCAATATATACATTCAACATGCTTAGATTTTATTTTTAAATATATTGGCACTTTACAAGTGTAAATTTAAAAAAAAAAAAAAAAAAAAAAAGAGAAGGAAAAGAAAAAAATACATTCCAGCATTTCAGACTAATCATAAATTGTTAAAATGAAAATTTTATTCATTAATTTTAAAATAAATGAAATTTTATAAACACAAACTGATTTTTTTTTAAATCACATAAAACAATGAAATACACAAATATGGAAAAGTGATAGGAACCAGATTTCAATAATTTCTAGATGATAATGTATCACTTCATTAGAAAGAAAGATCTATTGAAATAATTTGACACAACTTATGTAATGAAAATAAGGGAAAAGCATCAATATATGCCAATTTATATGACACAAAAATTATCATTGGTCTTAATTAGATCTCATTTCCATTTTACTTTTAATTAGAAAATCTTGATTCTTAAATCAAAAACTTTAAAGAGAAAGATATGAATGAATTTTTTTTATTGATAATTTTCAAGAGGACAGTAAACTATTCACCTGTAATGAATGAACCAAACCTTTCCCATCTGTAACAAAAGAAAAAAAAATATATAAAATATAGATGCATAAAATATTTCAAGCAAAGTAGTTATATTAATTCATATATTTTAAATATGGCAAGATTTTATTCCAATATTACTACACTGACTAATTTAGATCAATATTATACTTATTCCTGTATCATAGTTTGAACATTATCATCTCTGTCATCAGTTTTGTTTTATAATAACCCCCACACAAAAAAAAATTAATTTTTCACATTCATTTTGATTGGATAAAATATTTCATATGTCTAGTTTAAAGCCATTCCTATTAATAATAAATATTTCTTATAAAATATTACAAGGACAACATAAAAAGAAAACTTACCTCCAGTCTGGTGATCTTCTACCAACACATCAATATCTAATAGACGCCAAGGAATTGTAGGACTGTCACCCATAAGAGTCAAGGTTACCTGGAGAGATGAAAACCAATATATTCTAATTAGAATTTTGAAGGTAGATACTAAAAGAAAAACTAAAGCATAGTGAGAAAAGCTTACCTCAAATTCATGTTCTACAAGAAATTTCACTCTTCCATTTTCTGAAAAAATACCAAAATCAAAGATACGAATTGTTAGTATTTTTTTATTTTTTTTAGATGTAATGGAACAGAAATCTGAATTCATAGTCTTTTTGAAAAAAATCATTTTATTTCAAATTATCAACTTTTCCAGTAATTGTTATAGTATCAGCTATGAATTAATGTAGAATCAAAGTGAAAACATTTTAAGATAATATAAATAATAATTGTAATTTGAAAGTAAGAGTCTACAAAAAACTTTAATTGATAGAAGATCATATCCTAAGATACTTCGGATTTTTTTTTTTACTAAATATTCACTCAATACAAGGTCCAAGAACCAATTAAGATAGAGGATTACTGAATGAGGCTCTGCTGTAAGGGTATAAAAGGAGAAAGCAAGTAGTGCTTATTAAGATGATGTGTTGTTAATAATGGTTAACTTGACAAGATTAAGATTGTAGTGATCTGAGAAGCATCCTCTCAGAAGCCTATTTAACAAAGTAACAGTTCTTGAAAAGGAGTAGAAATTTCCACCCAACCAGTGAAATATGAAGAGAATGAGGATGATTCAACCCTGTGTATGTAACATGAAATATCCCAGCTGTAAAGAAGGAACATAGTTCACCTGAACATTTAGCATGAAAATACCGATTATATATATATATATATATATATATATATATATTACATATGTATATATATAATGTTCAAAATGTTAAAGCAAGTTATACCAATTTTTAATCTTCTCATCTGTGGTGGTAATTCACTGCATACCAGTCGGTACTGAATAACTTGGCTCAGTCGCTGCAAGGTAAGTCTTTTCTCTGTCACAGTTATGGGGTCAGCTGGAACAATTTTGTCCTGAAAGTAAAATTTCAGTTCAACTAAAAACTATACACCAACTGCATCTGATTAAAAAAAAAAAAAAAAGAGAGAGATAGAAGACTTTGTATTATTACACATTGATCTATTTGGACTAGCATTCTCATTTCATTTCCAATGTCTCACAGAATAATGGCCTAATTGTCATGTTACTAAATACTTCACCTCAACAAGGTTGGAGAGTATAATGGCCAAATTGTTGTTACTATTCATCTATAATAATAACTGTTTATCTAAAAAAAAAAAAAAAAATTAACCAGAGGTTTTACATTTTATTAACGGTATTCTATTTATATAAAATTTAAATAGTAAAAATCATCTCTGCATACCTTGGTATAATAATTTTTGTCCAACATCGATAAAGCATTTTTACATGGTTTAATTTCTATTAGAGAAGCTATGCTTTAGTATTAATTTCAATTTTTACCAATATTTTAAATTTGGGTTTCAAATAAAAATACATGACTTTACAGATTCCAGTACAACCTGTCATATGGATGGGTGGTTGGTAACTAAACAAGCTCACCTACTAGCTTTTCTGTCATTAAGGAGGGTGGCATGTCACCCAACACGTCGAAAAACAAGATGTGTCAAAATGTGAATGAGCTTCTTATAGGGGCCAATGGCTAACCTTTCTTGGCAGATCTCCTATTATCACAATGTGGGATATTTAATAACAAAAGTATATATATATATATATATATATATATATATATATATATATGTGTGTGTGTATGTATATACAGGGATGAGATTAGGCTAAGGAGCTCTTAAAAATAAAACCCATGTCCATGTCAATTTTTGCCTTCAACTTCAAAAGAGAGAAAGAGAAAATGACAAAATTAACAAATTTTAACATCACAAAAATTTTTCTTCGAATTCAAAATCACGCACCATCATCAAAGTCTGAAAATATATTCGTTCTGTGCGTGCTTATTTCATTTTCAACCAAAACAAGACATTTACTGTCTCCAATGACACTGTGCCAAAATGCTGAAAAGCGAGAGAAGACTTGCTAAACTATCAAAAGAGGCTAAAAGGTGCAAGCCTTTTTCAAACAAACAAGGTAAGTTTTCTCCTTTTTTATGAACTTTAAAACTTTACAAGAAAACATTTAGGTCACCAAATTTTCCATGATCTTTGAATAATCGTAAATCTGAAACAATCTGTTTTTTCATAAATTTTCAATAATAAATAAATGATTATTTTTTTTTTTTTAATTTGTCAAAACTTAACTATCTCTGTTATTTTTCTATTAAAATATAATACTCTTTGAACTTGCTTTTCTTTTTACGACATGAATAGAAATTACGAAAAAAGATTACGTTTTTCTTAATAACGGGGTCATGGGGATTTTCCAAGAAAAAAATTTGACTAGTGCCCTATACAGACATATTTTCAAAGAAAAGAGGTAGGTGAAAGGAATTTCAACTAATGTTACAAATTTATTTTAATCCTGTAACATGAAAATGAAATGAACATATGTATACACTACCGGAAATGAAATGAACATCATAAGTTTAATATTATGGGTTTTGACGATATTGGATTAATAAATAGTAATAATGCAGAATTAGTTTTAAGATTTGATTTATTCGATGAGGAGTACATGAGAATGAACGAGGACTTGTTTACATTTGGGCTGAAAACTACTTTTACAGAATTCATATATAATATTCTATAATCTAAGGGAGATAATTCCAAGTTACACCACAATGTATACGCACACAAGCACATTACATAGTAATAATATATTTCATTTTAAAAAAGCAATACTTAAATAAACTGGTTCCCCTCAAAAAGGAAAGAAAACTACATGTCAAAAAGTCAGGGATTAGTTTGACATTGTACTTATATTGTAAACAGGACACTCATTCAAGTATACATAACCCAATGGATAGGGCCCCAAGAGCAACTGCGGAAAGCACTGGACAGCTGTTTCGTGCCATTTGGGGATGAAACAGACACCCAGTGCTTTCTGCATTCTGTTAAGGATTCTTCTAGAATTACTATGAATGATTATACAAATCCCTAAAGCCTTGAATGGCAACCTTCATAAAGGTGGTGTCTCAATAAAAACACTCAATGGGATTGGACTACTGTGAGTGAGTTGGGTATCTGGAAGAACATCTGACTTTGTAAAATCTTGCTTCAAATCATTATGACAAATCCTTTGTATTTATATTTTCTGGTAGAGACTTTTTTTTTTAAAATAGAATTTTGTATGTATAAGGGACAAGAGAGGGTTACTTATGTATTGGTTTTAAATGTATGTACTATGTGATAGCATATAAACACAAATGTAACAAGCTGGTAAGAATATTCAAAGAAAATTAATAGCAGAATATACAAAGAATGAAGTATATTCAATTCAGCAAGGAAAACTCTGAAGGATGTCCAAAAAAAAAAAAAAAAAAAAAAAAAAAAAATTAATAAATAAATAAATAAAAAAAATAAAAAAAATAGACAAGCATAAATTAACCAAAATTAAAACACTGTAAAACAACAAGGAGTATGCAACACTTCTTCAATACCAAGTGAAACGGCAATTTTATTGGTTCACTCCTGCCTATTCAATTACTTCAGGCAACTGAAATCATATCTTCTAGCTATACTAACATGAAGGTTTGGATCATAACAGATACCTCTTTATAACTGCTTGTAATAAGTGTAAGCAGGCCCTCAAAAAAGCTAAGTTGCTGTTAACTAATAGAATGAGACAAGTTTGGTTCTCATGATTACAGGTAGATCAGTAAGAGTGTTAAACAAGGGTAAAATCAATCCCTCCTCTCTTCAATCAGTTTGAAGTATTGTCATCTACTGCTGATAAAGCAGAATATTTTGCTTGTAAATTCTCTTCCAACTCCACTTGACTCATCAGGAGTATCATTGCCTGATTTTTCACCTCAAACAGAATCTTTACTGAGTGATATGCATACAATTCAGTCCATAGTTTCCACTATCATCTCAAAACCAGTATCTGGCGGAAAATGTTTTTTCTGAACAGGCTCCTGTTCTCTCCAAACTCTACAGAAAATGCCTTGCTTCTTTTTGCTTTCCAGCTTGTTGGAAATCCTCTTCTGTAGTTCCTGTCTTTAAGAACTCTGGTGAACCTTCTGATCCCTCAATCTATCATCCTATAAGTCTTTTACCACTTTTTGGCAAAGTACTAGAGGCTCTAATCAACTCTGAGTTAGTTAAGCATCTCACTGCACAGAGTCTTTTTCAGATAAACAATATGGATTTCATTTCTCTAGGTCAACTGCCAATGTGCTAATGGTTATTACTGAATTTGTCAATCAAGCTTTAGATAAAAACAGCAAGGCTCAGGCTGTGGCTTTAAATATCTCAAAGGCATTTGCCAGGAAAGGTCTATGTTATCTCTCTGGCAAAATATTTAACCTGATCCAATGTTTCTTAATAAATTGTGTAATGGGAATCACATTGACTAATCACTCTTCTAGATCTTTTCACATTAATGCTGGTGTCCCCCAGGGGGCTCTATCTTTGGTCCTATGTTGTCTCGTATCTTCATCAATGACCTTACCAGTGTCATCAGTTCCCAACTCTGTATTTATACTTATGACAAAACTATTTATTCCTGTCTTAATAGTAAATCTGATAGGTTTGATAAAGTAAAACTGGCAGCTGATTTTGAAAATGACCTCCAATCAGTTGTTAACTGGGGGCAAGAAATAGCTCATAAATTGTAATGCCTCCAAACCAAAACCAGTATCTTTTAGTCATCATAGAGAACTCTTTTTGCCTTCCAGGAGAGCAACTCATTGCACCTTCTTGCTCTCACGTTTTCCAATGACATGAAGTGGAATGATCATATTGCATCAATTGCTAGATCTGCTGCTAGGAAAGTTAGTTCACTGTCAATGTGATAATTTTTTTTTTTTTTTTTTTTTTTACTAGAATCAATCTTGCACATTTATAAATCTAACATTCATCCATGCATTGAATATTACTGCCATATCTTGTCAGGTGCTCCTCCTATATCTTGCAAGATTCTTGACAAACTCCAAAGGGTCTGTAATGTAATCAATCCCGACTTGGCATCTCAACTTCAGTTACTTTCCCACAGCCATATTGTGCCTTTCCCATATCCTTTCTACAAATATTTTCATGGTAATTGTTCTATTGAACTTTCCTCATTGGTACCTCAACTGCATGAATTTAAGTGCACAACTAGATTGACAACTAGGACTCATTGTTTTACTGTTGAAATAGCTTGATGCAACACATAAATTTTATTCGAATAATTACTTTTCTCACACTTCTCGCCTGTAGAACTCTTCCAGTTTCTTACTTCCCTGCCACCTACGATCTTTAAAATTTAAAATGCAATATCAACCGCCATCTTCTGCCTTCCTGAATACTGTTCTTTTATTTTTCCTTTCTGCTCACTAATGTTGTCTCATTTTCTTTCGCTCTCAGTAAACCCATGCATCTTAGTAGGATTATCACCTTTGTTTAAGGGGAAATGTCACAAAGATGAATGCCACCATAAAATAGCGAAATGAGGTGTAATAAAATTTATGCATGGCAAGAGAAATCTAGTGTGAATTTGTTACTGTGCATGATGAACATGTCATAAGCAGGAAGCCAATATCATTCTGGCATTGTACATTCACAAATGTGTGTACAAATCTGCAGGACAAGCCTCATATAGAACGTCCACATTCATCATAAATAGAAGGTTAACATAGAGCACATTGAAACTTTGATTCAAGACGGATAGATGGCAAAAAATTTCATTATAAACCTGTACAACTTGATCTTCTGAACGTTTTAGTTCAGAAAATCAATCACAAGTAATTGGGGTATTTGAAAGTGTCATTTCTTTAAGTTCCAAAGTTGACTGAAGAACATTAGCATTTCTTTTTGGCTTTTGGGATGGTATAAGGAAGCTGATGGTAACCTCATAGAGAAATGATCAGAATGAATGAGAAAGCATCATGTTACCTCAGAAACAAAAATTGATTTCAAGGAAGCATTTGAACCACTAAAAATTCAAAGTTCAACAGTCAGTGAAGAAACCAAAGGCAACTATGTTTAATATATACCCACCTCTTTCCAGTGATAGAATGTGATACTAGGATGGTTTAATGTGGGGTGACCATATGTATAGATACAGACAAAAACTGCCCAGTCCCCACAACCAGTTACACTGATGTCTGTATCCAGCAACCTTCTCTCTATAGCACAACGAGGACAGTGCTACCACAAGGTTGGAATCCTCAGGATCAGGCGTCCCTTAGAGTGTAGAGAGGAAGAAAGAAACAGATACTACACTTTGATCCAAGCCCCAAATCTAGAGAGTATCCAGTGTTCTGGGATGCAAAAGGTGTGTTGCTCATGAACTTCATACAGCACACTCAGACAGTTGATGTGAAACACTGGACAGACTAAAGGAAGTTGTTTATCAAAAGAGACCAAGACAGTTGTGTAAAAGTGTCATTTTGCTGCGTAACAATGCAACCCTATACAAAGCTGACCTAACAAAAGACTGGACCCAGCAATATGGTTGGAATAATTTACTGCATAAACCACATAATCTGAAGGAGCCAAATCAGAACTATCATTTTTTGTGGGGACCTCTCATTTATCCAAGAAGTAGTTTTACACACAAATGACACCATTGTTGCAGAAGTACAAGGGTGGCTCTATTTGTTTAACAACACAAATATCAAGGAGGATATTTCTGCACTTGTGCACCAATGGGACAAGTGCTGCTCTCTCAATAACAAATTTATGGAAAAGTAGAATAGTAGTGCTGCTGACATATGTACAATATTTTATTTGTATTGTAATAAACATAGTAAACACTTATATATCTTACTTTTTGAACATCCTTTGTATAACTGTATATAAAAAATATTCCTAAAATATTTACCCTAATACAGGTGGGCAAACGAGGATAAGTGCCAGTTGTCAGTACATCAACAGCATATGGAAGAGGAAAGTTGGGCAATCTGAAAGTAAAAAGGAAATCATTTTTTTTTAAATATATTAATTTAAAGTAAACTGCAATCATACACATGATATAACAAATAATATTAAGAATATTAGTAAACTGAAGATCTACATTCATCTTTTTTTTTTTTTGTTTAAGTTCAAGTACATACATTGTGATTGTTGGAAAAATAATTTTCCCTATACTCAGTTTTCTAACACATTTTCTAAATACTGATATCTAATAATTATGGTAAAATAATTAATATTTTAATTAATTTAAGAATTATAACAATTATGATAAAATACGAAACAAATAGGAAACATTTATAAACTTAGCAAGTTTTGCTTTCATTCAGAAAATGAAATATGGAGGAGAAAACAAAATTCTGGTATTTTTTTTATTTTTGTGTTGTTTGCTTTTCATTGGTTAAGTAGACCTTGTGTATTCATCTTGTCAAGTAGCATTTGTGTGTAGAACTTGTATGTTTGTGTTATAATTCTAGTTGGTCTATGAAGGATTTGGTTAATAATGTTTGTGTGTATAATATCATTAAAATCTTTCAGATTAATAAATAAAAAATGCATTACTTCTTTAGAAATTGAATCACTTATGTTAAGATACAAAACTAAGCAGGTATGAACATTCTAGAATCTGAGGAGAATTTGCACTTATAAGGCGCTACTCAACTTTCCTTGATCAGCGAGAGACTCTTTGTGACCAACATGGTCTAAAGCATCATAGATCTAACAATGGTTTTTCTTTTACTAGGGGGACACAGATTCAAATCCTGTTGGAGAGCACAGTTTTTCTTTAATAAGATTTCTTGGTTATTCAGGCTGGTGGATGAAAATAAATAAAAAGAGCGCCCACTCAAATACAGGTATCCACTAAAAATAATGTTTAAAGTGATTATATATATTTGCAGACGGTACTGCTTCACCGTATCACAGCTCCTCAGTGCAACCAGACACTTGAATGCCTCAAACCAGGACTGAAACCAAACTGATTTGGTGTCAGTCAGAGATTCCACCACTGAGCTATCTTCACTCAGCAGAGTTATACAGCTAAATCTAGCATATTGTTTTTATAAATGCAAACAAATGCCAATCAGCCAAAGTGCTCCATTCATTTTACTGAAGAGCTTTGTATCAGCACAAGTGGCTGTTATTTATAGAATTAGCTTAACAGTACTCACCTGAAATATATTTTCAAGAGCTAAATTATGTCATTTGCAAACAGTACTGCTTTGCTGTATCACAGATCCTCAGTGCGACCAGACACCTGAATGCTTCAAGCCAGGATCAAAACCCAATTGATGGATATAAGAAAGTTTTTGAGTGGGTTTTAAAAGTAGTGTCAGTTCTAAATATCCTTGAATATGGGATTTAAATCCAATAGAAATGCCACCAATGCGTTTGTATTAATTTTTGAAGGCATAATAGAGAGTACTTTGTAAAGATATAGATGTTATTGTAAGTTTTTATTCTCCTAACGTCTTCTAATATTTCAATGTACTATTTATCTTGGTCATAGAAACAATGTGCAAATCATAGGTAAATGCTTGTGCATCTCAGCATTGTTAATACTTTCTTTAATTAGTATTGATAAAAGAATTTTACCATCTCATTTCATTTAATGACATTTTTATTAGCAGATCAAAAAAAAGGGTACACCAATAACAATTTATCTTTATTTGCAGACAAAATAAACAAAAAGAACAAATCTAAGTCTTGTCAAATTTTAGTTAAGAAACATTAATTTTGTGTTTGCACATATTGCTAGTTTTAAATTGTTAACTGACATTGAACACTGAATAAGTTGAAAGTAATCAGCAACTTTGTTGAATGGATCATTAAAAGAACCAAATTGAATACCATCTTGTATTGACAATTGCATGATGGCCTTCTATAAGAATTACCTTAAAAACAGGTTAATAAGAAAATAAATTTGGCTGAATTTGAGAAAATAGGAAGGGTGCATAGAAGAAGGACAATAGTCTAATCTCAGATGTACATATAAAAATAAAAGTTACTCACAATGAAGCTCATCATTGCAGATATTATGAAAAAAAAAAATAAAATAAATTTTTTTCATTAAAGAAACAAATGTGCTTTTAATTTTATATTTCAAGTATTCTATACAATTTTTCCTTTTTTCTCATTTCATTTTTAAAAATGAAGATCATCTTACCTGGCATTAACTAAAGTCTCTCTTGCCATGCGAGCCATACTATCAGCAGTTTCAACAAACAGTAACGACTGTTGTTCTAGAAAATTACAAATTTCCTGAAAAATAAAATGAAAAGACCAAATAAAAAAAAACATTAAGATTTGTAGATCATGTGTATACAAAATTGTAAAAGTTTAATATATAAAGATGAAAAACTGTTAAAATTGAAAAATTCTTTTCATGCTATGCTCCAATTTGCAAATCATAGAACAAATTGAATTCAATCATTAATGTACAATTACTTCTAAAAATTTATGTTGTACAGGTAACAGTTGTTCTGTTAGATGAACTACTTACTCCACATTTATCCACTTTGCTGGCACTGTTTGCCCATTTCACAAGGGCCAGAAGGCGGACAAATAACTGACGTGTTTTCTGAGCAAACTGTACAATTTCAATTTTCCTGAAAAAAAAAAAAAAAAAAATACATTTTTAAATGATTAGAATTTTCTAATCACCAAAACAGTAAGACAAATGTGGCTTGAGAATTTAACAATAGCCAATTTACAGGTTAACTACAATTAGTTCTGTTATGCCAGGTTTAAAGTGTACTTAATTTCTTTTAAGTAATTATGTAATGACAGTTAAGATTTGGCAATTCATATTCTTCTAAAACCATATATATATATATATATATATATATATATATATATAAATAAAAAACAATAGATGTCTGTGTGATACATTTTCACTTGAGATCCATCCAACTGATTTTGACCAAACTTGGCACATACATTATACAATGTAAGATAAGTTCTTAGCATAAAAAAATTGATAATTTTTTAAAAATCAATAAAGCTGATCAAAAAATCAATAAATTCGCCTTTTTTCCTCCAATTTCATTCAAACACATCATGTAGGTTACTTACATCAATACGAGCTCAACAATACCTCATTTTTATTTCTACGCCACTGCATTTAGCAAAAAACCACATAAAACAAAATCGATTTTAACACAAATTTTAAACTAGGAACTCCTTCAATTTTCAACCAATCTAATACAAACTTCACTCAATTGTAATCAACAATAAGTTAATTGTTTAACAGTCATTTAACTTGTTAATTGAGTCCACCCATATGGTAAAAAACCCCATGAAAATAGTGCAAAATGGAGATTTTTACTGGTTTCTTTCTTATTTTTCATAGATCTTTCATCAAACTTAACAACTGCTTTATAAATGTATCCTCTTTTAAATCCCTGGTAGCACACTGACAAATTGAATGTCAAAAACTCCAAAATAATTGTGGTCTGAAGTGGGTCTTCATGTTGCCTGTTTTACCCCTTCATGACCTCGGCTAACTTCAATAAATACAGACTACTTTTGTCATATCAGTAACTGCATTAATTCAAAATGTTTTTTTTTTAATGAAAGTACTTTATGGTAATTGAAGATGATAGAAACTGTTACATCTAAACATGATGCTGCTTTTGCTCCATTCTAATGAAGTGCTTTTTCTTATCGACCAGCTGGGTATGGCTGCTAGTAATCAAATACAATAAAACTACAACACAACTGATAATTATTTTTACATTAAATTTGAATAATATATATAAAATAATTGTTTCAATTCAATATGTTTAATGTTGCAAAAGACACCACAGAACGGACAAAACTCATTTTTGAATATTTAAGTTTCTATTAAAAAATGATTTAATTTTCTATTCATTAACACAAAGTAAAAGAATATTGTAAAGTTTTATTAAATATTTACAATTTATTAAAGTGATAGAGTAAAAACACATTTAAATTTTATCAAAAACTATTTGTTACCTGAATTTTACTTATATAATGTAAATTTTAAAAAATTAATGACATATATTAAGTTATTTGGACATTAATGTTTTAAGAAGAAAAAAAAAAATCAAATTCAACAATTGTAACATTCAAAATTTTAATAATAATAATTAATTATAAATATGAAATAATAGCAAAAAAATATATTTTCAAAATAAGAATTAGTTAATCAGATTAAGTATATGTTTTTTTTTTGTTTTTTGTTTTTTTATAAATTTTGCAACAACCAGATTTCTACTTTATATTTCAATGAAGAGCGAGACTTATTCCCATACAAATGAGTGCCAAAAAATTCTCAACCCAACTCACTTCCTAAATCTGACCAAACATCAGAACTTTTAAGGGAATCACTTTTTGGCACCTTCTCATTTATACACAATTCAGAAATTAAATATTTTAAGTTTTTTATTCAGAAAAATATTAAGTTCTCTAATATCAAATTAAACATTTACTTGACAAGTACCGAAATAAAAAAAGTCATCTTTTAAGTATTAAATTGAAGTCAAATAAAAATCATTCACAAATATTACTACACGATTTTTTAATGAAAAGAAAATGTCTATTACCTCTCCATATCCGACTTTCTAGGCAATCTGAAAATAAAAATATGAAAAAGACATTATAGATAGAATCAAATGCAAAAAGTAAAACATGAAAATTTCTCATTGTAAAGCAAAATTATGAGTGAAAAGAAGAATTTGCTGAAATTGTTCTTTTAACCCTTCAAGGCCAGAAGCATCCACAAGTTTCACTCACAGTACAATAGCAGCCAAATTCTCCCACAATCAGGTAGCACTGTATTGCAATACACAGTGCTAACACCCATCATGTGATCAACTAGGCCAGCAATCAGGTAGCACTGTATTTTATTATAGTCTTAGCACCCGTCACATCATCAACTAGGCCTGCAATCAGGTACAACTGCATTTTATTACAGTGTTAACACCCATCAAATCATCAACTACAGGTGCTGGAAATCATCTACTTCTCCCATAACAAAGGAAGTTACATCATTTAAATTTTTCCTATTAGCTTGATAAAATACTTACAGAAAATGTTAAGGAATATTATATTATTATAGTTGGCCACTCTTACTCAAGGATACCCGTCTACTAAGGCAGCTAGACAATCCCTATTTCAGATGCTTGCTCAGGCACATTTGTGTTTATTCAATGTAATGAGTTGGTCGGTCAACTTGACACCCCCAAAGTGAGTGGAGGTGGGAAAGCGCGGGAACTGTGATTGGTAGCTGGCTTGTTGGTATTTTGCATAGGTGAGTTACCAAGCTCTATGTAAAGGGCTGGAATGAGAAGGAGGGCAGTGTTTTTCAGTCTCAGAAGTGGAGACTGTGTCCGTCGCTACAACAGCAGGAGAGAAAGAAACAAAATCATTTATTTTTTCATGACACATTCCAATACCCACAGAGCCCACCTGTGGTTTGTACTGCAACTATGCTGAGCAGACCTTAGTTACAGTTTCTGGGAAAAAGCGTGTTATCTAGCATGATCAACAATTTGAACAAGGCGAGCACACTCAAGCCCTCTGCCATGATAAATGACGTTGTGCTAGCACAGCTATTGATAGCCCCCAAGAGTTCCATCTAACCAATTTCACTCACAAGGCTTGGGTCAACCTGCAGTATGGTTTTCATGCATTTTCCAAAGGTGCCACATGCTGAGATCAACCCCTCCAGTACAATAACATCTGCAAGTTTCCTTCCTGACAAATTGACCACTGTGAGATTCTGGGTCTCATGGTCAGAATGCAAACGTTCTAACCACTCGGCCACATCTATATATCTTCTAAAAATTTAAATATCTTTTAATTTATATAAAGGAACATTAGTAAAAAGTACCAATTTACAACTTGAAATTTAAAGTAACAAAGAAAAAAAAATGCATTTCACTTCTGTTTCCAATCTGTTTATAGATGTATTTCCAATAAAGTGGACAATTTTCAAAGACAACAATATTACCTACCAAAAACAAAACATCCAAAATGAAGAACACAACCTGGCAAAGCACACACTATGCAACTAAGCAAAGGATCGTTTGCATTGAGTCAATGAGCCCAACTATTATCAACAAGTGAAGGAATAACATCTAGATCTTAAATTTAAATTTGTCAATTTTAAATTATACATTGTAAATTATCTCTCTCATGAGAAACGTTATCAGTCTGACTCAAAAGACTTTTATAAGCATGGACAACAATATAAATTTTGACTAAATTTACTCTCATTTTTATTTTTAGATTTTTTGATTGCATTTTTTACTCAGGTCATCAATCTACAGCAGTGAGTAGATGAGACAGGTTGAGAAATAAAAGATAAGCTTTTAGTGAGATTTGGACAAAGTTCAAAATTAATAATAATAATAATTGACAATGCTAAGAAAAAATGAAGATGATACTGCTACAGTAACAATTTTGCACCACAATTTTTCATATGACCTTGTTGTAACAACAGACTATGCAGCAACCAAGTAGTAGAGAAGGCCTATCCAGAAAGTTGTAACCAATTGAGAGTGTTCACTTCATTCAGACATAAAACGGAGAAAGTGAGAAGCATCAAACATGGGATAAGGTTTCCTTACTTCATATTGTCTGACCAAATCCAACATTATAAGGTGTGTATTTTATGATAGAAATCAGGTGCATTGTGACTGAAAACAATCATCTGTAAATTTTTTATGACTTTTTTTTTTAGTGGATTTGCTGGTGAAGACTATAGATACTGACAAAGCAAATTCATATTCAGAATACGCAAAAAAGTAATAAAAAAAAAACATGCAAAACATATTTAATTCTCAAACAATGAAATAAAAGGCATGCAACTTACAATTCAGAGAGTACTGTCATTTCTGCATAGGTTCTTTGAATGATATAATCAATGAGAGTATTTAGGGCAATGGTACCACCTCCACCTTGAGGTGGTCCAGATGGCATAGGGAGCTGGCTGTCAATGGGGGCCATTTTGACCAAGTTTAGGGCTTAGGCAAACAGCTCAGCTCAGAATGAAACTCTGAAAGTAAAAAAAAAAAGAAATACAATGGGTACAAGATTGACTGATTGTTTTACGAGCACATCAAAATCCCTGTGGGTCATTTAATGCTGAAACTGGATTTTTATTCAGGAATGTTTCAAAACATTTCAAGGGGTTGTGAGATTTTAAAATTGTTTTCAAAATATCACAAGTTATATAGTTTGGGAGTATTTCAAAACCTAAATTGTATGGTTCAAAATCCAAGCTCTATTTTCTATAGAAGTTGGAAGTATTTTATTTTCTTCAGATATCCTATTATTTGGGAAGTAGGTACATTTTTGAAGAGCAGGTTAAGATATTTTGTGCTTGGTAATAGTTGCTACATATACTTTTGTACTTCCTACATGCTATCAAGAAATGTCTGATAGTGAGAAATTGATTGCACTGGGTTCACTGAGGCGTAGTTTCGGCCTTGAGCATGTGTGCATGTCCAATTCTTATTCTGTTGAGCACCATGTCTTTTCTGCAATCAGCTAATGGCTCTATATTCTCCCTTTTTATTGTCAGATGATGTTCATATAGTTTATTGTTTGGGAACATGTCCCAAATTGCTTGCCATTTTCTCTTTATGTAATGTGTAATTTTGTTTTTATAATCTGTATAGGGAGTTTGATGTTGGTTATTTTCATTTTCATTGCCTCTTTTGCCAGTGTGTTGGCTTCATGATTTCCCAATGGGTACAAGGATAAAATATCAAGTTACAATCTAGAGCAATAAAAGAACAATTCAGAAAATTGGATATACAGCATAAGGAGAGATTTCATTAATAAAAATGTTGTTCACATGGCAGCATATTTTGTTTGGTAGTCAACTTATTTGCCTTAACTATTTATCAACCAATGATATTCCAAATTATTTTGCAGGGATCTAATTGATATTGATATAAATAAAGCACAATGTACAGGTGCCCATCCATCTGTTTTTTTCAATCTCGGTGAATCATAAACAACCTGAAGTAACAGTTAGTAACTACTGTAGTTAAACATGATTAAAAAATTAAATAACTCATTTAAAGTTAAATTTAAATAGTGAACAGAGTGAAAGGTTTAAAGATCAATTCTTTATTAAAAGTTTAACTTTAATTTCACTTTTCATCACATTTGTAATTGATATCATCTAAGTAAACTGTAATTAAAACTTAAGCAGGGCATGTAAATGTTGTTCATATGTCTTTTTTTTTTCTTTTTCTAGCATGTGTGCTGTGACGTATTCAAAATATTACATAATTTGGGTTCCCTAATGTCTTTTAAGAGTGACTTTATGTAAAGGGATTATAAAGAATGGTGATTTTTAAAATAAAATAAAAATGCAAACAAACTACAGAGATTGGTTGTGTATACAAAGAAAGATTATGCCGAATTAAGGTGTTGAATAAAGATAAAATAATTTTATTATTTATAAAGTTTAATAACTTTTACATACAAAGGATGCTGAAGGCCAAAGTCCCAAAAGCCCTCCATAGGAGCTAGCCTAAACTCCACCTGGAGGGCAGCTCCTAGGCTAGATACCAGAATAAATGAGTTCCAAAATGAAATAATTATTTCTTTTTTATTTTTTTGTTCATCACTGAATTTTAATGGAAGACAAAAAATACTTGGAGAAAAAAAAAAAAAAAAAACAACAAACATTATATATGAGAAAACTATCAATTTTTAAACTGACAAATACAAAGGTGAACATCTACAATATTCAAAACATTTCCTGATTATTTCACATAATGGAATATTACCATAAGTGATTGTGTATGATTATTTCAACTGACATGGATGCAAAATCAAGTGCAAGCTGTTGCCTTCAATGATATATATTGCTTAAAATCTATATTTTTTAGGAAAAAGTGTTCAGTATTGGGGATAGAGGTTTTGCAGATATAAACACTGTGGATATAGAAAACAACACTTGCCTGGCTTTCTTTCACACCTTAAGCAATCATCAAACCATCATTTGTGGACAGAGAAATCAATACAGTGTTTAATGATTTCTGATTCCTCACAGTTGGGCAAACGCACACACATACACCATGAAAAAAAAAACTTGCACCAATGATAAGTGCATATAAAAAAGAAAAATCGAGAAGTATAAGCAGTCAATTACTGATATTCCCTGACAAGTGGATGGACAGGTCTGTCTATGAAGCCCTGGAGTGGGGATGCTGAAGGTAACAACAATCGGTTAAGTAACAAACCTTTCACTTGTATTAATTTTATGTGTGTGTGTATGTATATATATATATATATATATATATATATATATAAAAATGAATCCATATTGATCCCCTATACCTTGTGTTAGTTTACTGTATTCTTACCTGTTTGAGTTCTACTTGCTTCACAATTATTTATGAAACTTTAAAAGGTTATGAGCCCAGAATACAGGATGGCTCAGTTGATGAAGTAAAGGATTGTAGTAATAAACAGTTCATGTCCTTAAATCAATGCTTCAATCCAGAATTCACCCAATATTTTATTTGGATGTTGAGTTCACAGATTCTTGCCTATGTCTTTTTAACAAGTGAATCTAATGCCAAAATATTTTTGTTCTTTCCATGAAATAAATGCTCTTCATTATGTCTGTCAAAATGGCCGATTGCAACATGATAATATGAAAGACAACAAAAGAAAACAAGCAAAGAATACTGCAGAAGTGTCCTCTTTTTTGCAGGGCAATTCACCTGCTTACAAGATTGGCAAGACAATCGATCCTATATTTGAATGCCTAGACCATCCACCTCTACACACCAGATCTTACTTCATTTATTTCTTGTTTCCAATCTTTAAAAGGAGTTTAAAAAGAGGACATTTTGGCAATAACTGACAAATATTACTGACAACTAAAAAAACATTTTTCTCAAAGGACAATTTTTGCTTGTAAAAATGCCAGATTTCTGGGATTTCTCATTTTGACTTTCATGAACCAGGACTCTTCAAAGAGTTTTGGGGCTATTGCCATTTCTCCAGGATTTTTTAAGCCCTGGAAAAGACCCTGTCAAGACTTTTCAAGGTTTCCAGGACCTGTACAAATCCTGTTTAAATAAACGATTTATTTCAATTAAAAATAATATACCACAGCCTGTTCTTATTTTTCACATGTATTACTTGAAAATAGAATAATTTATACAACAGCATAATTAAGAAAGTGACATCGAAACAATTTTCATAGAAGCTATAATCAATATTTTCTATAAGCTTTAAAGAGCATTTTGTGTTGATTTTAATATTAACTGCGATTGAAGTTTAATAAAGACAAATGATATGAAAGTATTTTTAAATCATTTAAAATTTAGGTAATTTTTTATATACAAAATACTAATTATAAACTTTTCTCAAAAAAGTGTTTTTATAGCCATAAAAAAATAGATCAGAATATTTGAAAGAATTAAAACAAAGTTAAATACTTACAATATTACTTGCTTATCAAGGATGTGTGATGTTTTTAAACTGATGTTTATTTCCATCATCTTCAGGACATTGTTTTTCAGAGCTTCTTTCATCTCCCTGTTTTGAAGGTAAAGTTGTACAAGACAGTTATTGCATAAAAAAAAACATGAGAAAAAATATATGTAATTATGTATACTTTAGTGTGCCGGGAATTGTTTCTATAGAGAAACTGGTTTCAATTTTCTTCAAAAGGACATTAACTAATGAATGTGAATGAATTTAATAGTCTTATATATTATCTGCAAGTTTGAAAATCATCCTGGGTATGATGATAAACTACGTCCGGCGGCAAGGCCTCTGAAGCAGGGAAACACCCCTTAATTGCTGTTGTTCCCAGGTCCACCCTGTCCTGGAGTGGTAGCACCTGTTAGGGTCTCAGCTATGGGCAAATAGTGAACCCCCAAACTGGGTTAAAAAAAAAAAAAAAAAAAAAATGAAAGTATAGATTTAAAAAAAAATATAAATTATCAGCAATAGATTTTTGTTAAAAAAAAAAAAAAAAAAATATATATATATATATATATATATATATATATATATATACTCAAGCTCCCAAGAAAATTAAATTTCAGCATTAAATGACCCATAAGGAGTTGATATGCCACTAAACAAACGAAAAAGAGTCAACCACATAACAAACATCATTTGAAATGAACCTCTTCTTCACATACTTGCTGTTGCAGACAATTCATCTTTCAACCATCATCAGGTATATTTTGGAATGATAATGACTTACACGTCATATCTCAGACAACTGAATCTTGTCATCAGATACCTCCTGTTTTTAATTCAATGTTTCAGCCAATTCATTCTTTAGCCTTCATCAGGTACATTACATCATTGAAACTGAGTTAACAACAGAAACTTTGTAAAGGAGATTCAAGTGTCCAAACATGTTTAATATGCTGACTTAGTAATTCTTCTTCCCAAAGTTATATGCAATATTGTTATGTTATTTACATATACTGCCAAGTTTTAAAAGCAAATATTCAACAGAACTAATGCAAAATATGCACCCACAGAGAGGAGGGGAGAAATCTTGTAAAGAAAATCTGATAAATATAATGAAAACCCCCTAATCCTTGGAAATAAAATTTTCCTTTGCAAATTGCCATGAAAGGTTTCTTTTGAAATGCCAATTGTGCATATTAATAATAATAAGTAAAAGAAAGAAATTAAAAAAAATTTTCCTGAAGTTTTGTCTCTTTTGCAAGAAAATGGAAACAACTTTTGTTGGGAATAAACATATGATTTTTTTTTCTTTTTTAGAAACAATTCCTGGCACATTACATTAAGCTGTGGTTTTAAATTTTATTTATTAATGTATTTATCATTGTTTTCCTTATATTGGGACCATTTTACTTAAAAGTTCATGATTTCAGACGAAAATTCGGATATTTTACAACATATTTTTGAAAAAAAATTTCACTTTTTTTCTTTTTAATCATTTCACGCCAAGAAAGGCAATAACATCACTAAGACACAAGGAAGGAGTTACTGAGTGTTGTTAGAGAATATGAGAAAAATATACAATTAAGGAGAGAAGACAACAAAAGAACAAGAATTAAGAAAATAGATGATAATGATTGACATTGCATTTAATTTTTGAAGATCAAAGCGACTTTTTAAAGTTTATTTATCTGAGTTAAGCGACTTTTTTTTTTACTATAGTTTATTTATAGAATTTTTTTTTGCAATGTACTCAATCTCGATATAAAAAAAAAAAATCACAGTATTTATAAATAATTTTCTTTTTCAAAATAGTAATCAAAATGCAAAAGGAGATAATTTATCAAGTATATTTATTTTTATTTAGTGATTATTTAAGATGAAAAAAATTTTTAACAATATTTTTGTATCCTTTGATGTTCACAACAGACTGTACTGTTGTCTAAATGATTTTTCAAACAATCCCAAGTCGTTTACTTCTAGAATTTGACCATGCATAATCCAAATGATTTTTTTAGCAAAATTATTCAAATAGAAATTAAAATTTAAATATAAACTTACACAAAAAAAACATATGCTGAATCCCAATTCAAATCTAAATTTTTTAAATGTTTGTCACCCTTATTTACTTATGCTAGAGATACCAGTGCAAGTGGGTTTAAATAATTTACAATTGCTTTTCACAGAATTTTAAAATTTAAACAAAAAAAATGACCGAAATAAATCCATGCAGAATTTAAAGATCCATACAAATTATATTACATTCATCAGAAAATCTCCCGTCGCTTAAAAAGAACTGACCTTGTGTCACGTTTTCCTCGTAGGGAGACGATTAGCAATTTAGTAAAGCATGAAATAAATGCCGTATTAATTTGACGAAATATTTAACAATGAAAGACAATAATATCCAGAAAATAATTATTTACTATATTTTTCTGTTTGAATAGATAAAAAAAAACGCTTCTTTTTTTTTTAGCTATCGACTGTTGTACGTACGAAACGGGGTTTTACTTTTTGCATATTATGATCATATAATTAAAAATATATCTTGGTGAGGTTTGAATTTCATTAAGATGACTCATGAGGATAAAATAATTGAACAAACCTGCAGTTCAAAATGACTACGTCAGGTTGCTCTTCAGAGAAAAAAAAAGACCGGTATATACACAAGACAGAAGAGGAAACAATGGTGGCCAAGAGAAGCAGCAGCAGCGCCCTCAAGTGGCAATTCAATAGATTAAGATTCGGTTTAGTGAACAAGTATATTTTTGTTGGAAATTATATTTTTCTTGCTTATGTTTATGGGCTTTTTGAATGAATACGACCTTACTTTATTCTAAAAATTAACGTCATAAGTTTTTAATGAGAAGTGTCATTTACAATGAAAGCATAACAATACGAAGTTGGGCTCTTACTACATGCAGGTTTTTATTCAAGTAGCAGATCCATAAAAGCGGTAGTAAGTACGGAAGCATAAAAAAGACAAAAAAATAAAGTTGCACTTTTGTTTTTTGCTATTTAAGAACTCAATGGTATTACCAACATTTTTTAACTTTAACACTAACTTACTGTTTTCGATAAAAAAAAAAAATGCTAATTTTTGTTTCACACTTTTTATTTTTTTAAGTTTCCATACTTTACAGTACACAAAAAAGGTAGAGTTTTCTTTTGCAGTATTGTAAAAAAAAAAAATCAAACGCCCCACTTTAAAGTGACTTCCCTTGCTCCCACTTTGAAACTTAATTTTTTTCTTCAAATATGCAAAAGCATTTCCGGGAGAAATTAAGTTCATATTCGGATAAAGCAGATTCAATTATATAAGAAAAGTACATTTTCTGGCGATTACGAACTGGCTTACTAAACCGAATCTTATGCTAGCAAATGAATGAATAAATAAATTGTTTTATTACCAGTCTACCTTACCTGTCTTGTAATGTCTCCCTCCTTGAGGACAGTGAGGTAAATTAACTTAAGCAATGACATAATACTTTATAAACACAATAATCATTTCATAAGCAATAGGACTTAAACGTAGTTTTGTCCGCGGGTTGTATAGCACGCGTGTCAGAAACAAGAGGTCAAATGTCAGAGGGGAATGCTTCTTTTCATGACCGGAGTTACCTCCCTTTATTAAAATGGTCGGACAGTTCCGCTGAAAACACTAGCAACGTGGTTCTCGTCGCCATCACAGTCTCACGTATGTATGCTTCTTTGTACCTTCTAAACAGCTTATTCGTCTACATCACTCATTTGAACACCTTCCATTTGGATTGATGATTCTAAAAAAGATATCAAGATGCCTGCATATAGCATTTTTAACACTTTAAATTCTGTTTTTATTGGATGTCTTAGCGAATTTTAAAGTAGATTGCCCAGAATGCAATTGACTTCCGGTTTCCGTTTGACGACTGAGCTGCTGCTTTTCGAACTGGACGCATTTAAGATGACGTCTAAACATTCTTTAAAATAATCATAAAAATGTGTTATCTCTGCAATTTTAATTCATATAACTCTAAAGGAAAAACGTATTTGCCTCCATATTTTCATTTTAATCGATCGCTATTTTTTTTAATTAGATTATTTCTGTGGATACACTTTGCTTTTAGTAGTAACACACGTCAAATTAATGAAATGTATACGGGAGTTTATAGCGCAGCAGATAAAAAAAATATGGATGACCAACAATGAATATAATTATTTTTTGCCTTAGACTTCTCTTTCTTATGTAGTCGCGTGAAAAGTGTTTTTTTTTTTTTTGTTTTTTTAAATATATCCAGAAAAGAAGAAAAACTTTATGCTTTCGAAAAAAATACAAAAAGTTAAAGTATAATTTAAAAAAAAAAAAAATCTCTTTGGTAGAGTAGTAGTTAACCTACTTTTCACTGGATATTCAACTTTTTTTTCTTTTAAAAAGGCACTGCACATTTTCGTTGTTACCCGCGAGCCAAGATTAACTAAAAATGCATTTAATATCTCATCTCTGAATTAATAAAATTAAATATCTTTATTATGGTTCTTTTGAGTCTTCGTATCGCGAATTAGGAGTCCATTTTGCTTTTTTATTTCTGCTCTGGAGTTTTTATGGGTCTAACTAACTTTATTTTTTAATTTTTTTTTTTCTTTTAATCACGTTTATTTGCTGTGTTGTGACGGATCTACCATATTGTAATAAGTATTTTTTCTTTTATCTGGAATAGTATAGGTAAAATACGGGGTAGATGGAAATTCATTTGTATTTGTAAGTAAGCTGAAGCATTATTGCGTTGTTTCAGGTTCAAACCTACCTTTTACTTTTTTTGACTTATTTTTTTTTTCTTTTGCCTTAAAATAATCTTAATTTAGGAACTTGATAAAAAGTAAATATCTTCTCCTTTTCTTTAAAAAGTATTTAATTTTATTTTCTCTTAATCAAGAGTGGTGAACATATTTTATTTCATTTTTTTTTTTTTTTTTTTTTTTTTTTTTAAAGAATGTTCAGTTTCAGATCTTAATTGGTTAAGAAGATAAAAGTGTAGTATACGTTCTTTCTCTTGCATCCAACATAATGAGATAAAATATGAAGCAGTGATGAAATGTTTTTGGTCCATCTTAACCCACTTTCCAAAATTGTCCAAACATTGGATTTCATATATACATATAAATATATATGACTGAAATAGTTAAAATTTTGGGTAAAAATTAAGTATTGCTATGATGAGGTACAAATTTTGTACACACAATTGAATTTTTAAAAAGTTAGTGCTTAATCTGAATACTTGTCTTTAATTAAAAAAAAAAAAAAAATTTTTAATACTACATGCAATGAGAGAAAAGTGTATATTTTAAAGAGGAAAAAAAAGAACAAATCTTATGTAGGTATCACTCATGAACTAAAGAACAGAGTTGTTTCCCTACATAAAAGTAACATTAAATTATCAGGCAACAGAAAACTCTTTGTGTCACAACACATCCACAAATGCAACAAGGGTAACTTTAAAATTATGCCAATATATCAAACGGCAGATTACTCTTGCCTCCAAATACAAGAAAGAACTTCATAGACAAATTTAAACTAACACTAAACAAATCATAACCCCACACACACACAGAAACACACATATACACATTGTGGCAAAACACTAGTTGGACAACACACCATGCAAAATGCATGTATTTATTATATAGGTTTCCTTATATGTACGGAAAACAAATATATGCATGCATATTGGCAAAAACTAGCACACTAGGCAAACCGCACACACGAACCCTACACACCATACAATGTATGTATGTGTGTGTGTATATATATATATATATATATATGTATGTATATACACATAGTGGCAAAAAATACACAAGAATACAGGAAGAGACATAAAAAGATGAGAACAAAGAACTCCTTTCTTTCTCTGACCGAATTTAATTGTTTCATTTCCCCTCAAGCAAAGGAACATTTTTCAGTCCGTCCAAAATGGATTCAGATTACTACTATGCACAAAAGACAATGGTTAAAAGATGTAACATGAGAAAATAAAAAATGAACTCCTTTAAATAATGTGGAAATAACCTGATGAAAGTCTCAAGACCCAAAATTTATGTAGCAAAATATATGGAATAAAGTATATAAAAAAAAAAAAAAAATCAACATAATAAAAAAACGTTTGCAACATTTTCTCTCTTTTTTTTTATATATATATATATATATATATATACATACATACACACACCGCAAACAAATAAAGAGAAAGAACAGATTTAGAATCCACAGTTCTTTAGCATTTACTTTTTTTAAAAGTGCCCAATACAATGTAGAGCATAATATTTTTAGTGATATTTTTATTTAAAAATATTTTACATTGTGAACGGGAAATTTCTGTGTTTTGGGACTTTTTTTTTTGTTTTTTTTGTCCCGTCATCACGCAATGTTCAGTAGCTTATGATGTAAATTATTTTCGTCATAAACTACCGAACATTGCCTGATGGTGGTACACAAAATCTTTAAGTCCTGAAATATAGAAATTCACAATGTAAAATATTTTTAAATGATATATATATAAAATGGGGGTTTATTACAAATAACATTTGAAATGTATATGATATATATATTTGAATGAAAATTACAAACATGACAAGACTAGAATTTAAGAATATTATAAAAAAAAAAAAAAAAATGCACAACACCTGTTGACAATAGCAAAAAAGAATTAAGTTAATTATTTATTATAAAAAATTTAAAACCTCTAACCTTATACTTAAAAATAATTCACCTCTTAGAACAAAATTAAATAGGACAAATATTATTTACAAATTTAAATGTCCATTAAATAATTGTATTCCTAATCAATCAAAATTCATAAATAATTATATAGACCACACTACAACTGGTTTGACATGAAGACTGACACTACATCTTTCTGACCATAGCTCAATTAGGTCTCATTTAAATATTCATGGAGACCTACCAGACCCTATTCGTAACATACTTGTTGACAACACAAATTTAATAGCATCATCTACATGCAAATAAAGGCTAAAAGTAATGGAAGCTTTATTAATAAAAACAAAAACAACACGCAATAATATCAACTATGAACATGGACACTATATCTTGACCATGTTTTGAATATGAAAATATTATATAAATACATACAAACAACAATCTATTTTTTGTTAACAGTTAATATATTTCAAACTTGAAAAAGGTTAAATGTACAGCCAAAAGCATGCAGAAAAAAAAGAACAATTGGACAGTTTTTATATAATTTATCATCTGAAACACACACATAAATTGGAATAAAATGATACGAATGCCTAGGATAAATTTTCTATACTAAATAATTTAAACTTAAATTTGAAAATAGTTGTTTTGTATTTTTGTTTGGCAACCCTAAAATGTAATAAAATGTGACAAGTGACCAGAGTTGATTTGGTGGCAAACTTGAATCTTCATGCCCACAAAAAACAGAATGTCAATAGGACAGTTTTTTTTTTTTTTTTCCCAAAAAAAAACACCACTATTATTTTGTCACTCCTCGGTAATGTTTGTTGTTTTTTTTTGGGGTTTTTTTTTAAAGCAATGATTAGAATTGTAATAAAACGTAAACATATGATGAAAGTGAATTTTCTTTGTTCCCAACAAATGTAATAAACACAGATTATTTATTGGAATGGTTGGCATAACCTCAATTGCCAATTGATTCAAACTTTATAAAATGAGAATTTCCATATAGTTAGTTCACATATTTTAATAATTTAAATATGTTTATAAATTTATGAATAAAAAATTGTTTTCATATTTATTTCTTTATAAATTGGTAAATGATAAATGTTGCATTGCAGAATGTTGTAAATATAGACTTGTTCTTTATAGTGCTTAATATTTTTTTTAAATCTCAAGATCGAAAATATGTATAAATTTACTTTCATCATATGTTTAGGTTTTATTACAATTCTACTCATTACTTTTTAAAACAAACAATATCAAGGAGAGAAGGTAATAATTCCAATAATAAAGTCAAGAGAAAAATTGTTTATTGAACATTGATTTTTTTTTTTTTTTTTTTTTTTGTTTGTTTGCAGGCACAAAGGTCTCAGATTGCCAAATTTACTAACAAATAGTTTGAATACAGAATCAAAGGATTGATCTAGTTTATCAGTTTCTAATATTGAAATCATTGTTCTGTTTTGAACATCTTTAAAATCATTACACTTTTTTCTTCACGTTTCATGACAACTAAAATGACCACCCTCCCCAACATCAAATATATATAAAAAAAATTAAAAAATAACTAGCTTAAAAGTTGGCTATTGGGCAGCATTTATGCTAACTCCTGCAGAGGGATCTTGATTAGACGTTCATCACAATAGATAAGGGATGAGTAGATACTATAGACAACAATAAACTACAGAACAACTCAAAATTGTTGAGACCTGTTGGAAAGTTTGGTTTGTTTAATGTCATGTCAACTGCTTATGGGTCATTTAATGCTAAAATTTAATTTTCTTGGGAGCTTTGGTAAATTTTTTTTTTTTTTTTTTTTCTTCAAAAATGTATTGCTGGTAATTTTTGTCTTCCTTTTCCAATAATATACTGCTGGTAATTTTTTTTTTACTTTCATGTTTTTGACCCTATTTTGGGGGTTCACTATTCTGGACCTTAGCAGGGTCAGGAGTTGACCTGGGAACAACAGCAAGTAAAAAGTGGTTTCCTTGCTCCTC